TTACGAAAAAGGTATGTTTTTGGTAATATTGTACACCTTTTGATTGTCGATTTCTTTTATGTTGTGGCTTGGTGCACCATAATTTTAATTATTTGAGTTCGTAATACTGTTTATGACTTGCTGAGTCAATGTAATTTTTCATTCATCCTAAGTACTTAATAGTTTCTAGCTTACATTTGGGGTAATTAATTGTATAGTTTGGGAAACTTGAGTCAGTTTGTATTGACACATTTTGTAATATTTTAAGGGTTCACCCGGGAGGTTTTCACTCGGAGGGTTTTCACCCCGAAGTTCCACTACAGGTTGAATACAATGGTGTGGACACTACATCGGTTTACCAAAACAGTGGTCGGTATAATCGTGGTTCATTGGTTTATTGGCCACCTGGTTTAATTATCGCTGGTTTTACATAGATGATTTTTTATCTTGATGGGAAGATGGTGATGCTGTCAATAGAGACACCCTACTATTAGGTTTTTTTGTTATAATAAAGATTTCATGTGGCACTATGCCTGCTAGTTTAGTTGAATTAAACATCCTACTTTATTTTAAACGAATTTTCTTAAGATATTCTGAACATTATTTATAATTTTGCACACAGAATGTTCTAGTGGGTTTTTTTTTTTATTTACTTATGTGTTACCAAATATTTCATAATTTAATAAATTAAGCACTTAATGATCTAAGTAGTAGCCAAGTATAATAAATTATTTTAAAGTTTAGTTATTTAAGGACTTATCTAATGTCTCGGTCTAAGTATTGACCATAAATACCTCGGGATCTTAGGGCTGCGGTCAATATTTAACTTTTTAGATTTCCTTTTTTTTTATTAATATAAAAAGTAAGACTTAAAAAATAGTTAAGCAGCCTTATAAGACTCATAAGGGATAGAGATTAAATAAACCTTTTCCAATCTGGAAGCTTTAGTAAATAACCTCTGTTGAAGTCCTTTATGTGTTTATATAATATTTTTGTTGTATTTTATGATTAATATTCTATGGTAGAATTTCATGATTTTTATATTTTTCTTTATAAATAATTGGGTCTTAACTATGAGTTAAGCAAGTAACTTCTTCCACTTCTTCCAGTATATAGTAACCCTTGATTTCTAGCTGTAGTCTGAGCGACGTCAAAGGCCCGAAAATTGACACCGGAACAACCGAAACTTGTGTAACCGTAGTAGATGAAATTTTATTGATAAAGTTATTTTTTTTAATTTTAAAGCTTAATTTTAGGCAAATCCTCTCTGGAAGTTGTTTAGGACATTTAGTAGGTTACAATTTCGATCAATTCGATTCGATTATTTAGTCTTTCGATAAGTTTTCCGCTCACTAATTATTCCAAATGTGTATAACAATGGCTAGATGAAAAATCCATATTGTCTGTCATGTATTAATTTAAAAAAAGGGTGAAAGCAGAATAACGTTGGGATTTAATAAAATGTTTCGAACTTTTTCATTTTAAATGTGTTTAGTACTTTTATTAAAGTGATTTTATTTAATCATTCCAATTGCTTTAGGCATAATATTCAAAAAATGCTCTTTACGAGGAGCACTGTGTTTCGATTAAAATTTTCCGTATACTTTAGCAGTGCTCCTCGTATTATTACTTATAACGGAATGATTAAAACAACCAGCGCACTGAACAACGTATTCACCGTGGTTCTGATTCTGAGCATCATCGCGACCCTGTGACCTTTACAAGAGCGTCGCGACGCCAAATTCTCAGTCGATATTCGCCATCGTTCCAGAGTCATGTGCTCCATTTCACTGCCATGGAAACCATGGAGGAAAAAACACTCTATAGGTTTGGATTTGATGTTTTGTCTTGGATGAAATTGGTGTTTTATTGTTCGATGTTGTCTTTATTTGATGTCCCATTTTAAATCGATATTAACTTTCATTTGGTTCTTTTGTGCGATGGATTAGAATGATATAGTACGTTTTTGCCTTTTAATAAAGAGCCTTTGGTAAACTGTACCTGTTTAGTTAAAATTATTACGATAAAAGAAAACGAGTCAACGTTGTTAATATTTTTTGTTTCATAAAAAGTTTCACAACGAAATAAAAATTAATAATTATTATAAAAAGGGTTTAGTTGAATGAGCATGGTTAAATTAGTACCCATCCAAAATTAACTGTGTAGTTCGATTCAAAAAGTTGATTTCAAAATTCTGCATTTTATAAAAATATATCGAGAGTGCCCGAAACTATAGATATTGATTTTCGATATATTATTATAAAATGTATACCAGCCTAGTAACTACTTAGTATATTTTTATGTATATAAAGTATTGAATCCAAGATTGACATTTTTGACCACCAGAAACAAATTTTACAGTGCTTTCGTAAAGTAGTGACTAAATTCATGTTTAGCCAAAATGTCCATTTTTGAGGAAATTTCCAAAAACAGGTCGATTATATATACAGTGTGATGAACATGTGAGTAATGGTAATTACGTCAGCAATAATGTTTTTAAACGCTCGAAGCCGGCGAATTTTTTGAAATAATAGCTATTTATGAAACCAGTTGCGAAATGCCTTATCTTATGTATAGAGTAAATGTTTGCAGGACGAACAGAGCGAGATCCCTCAACATGAACGAGTTACATAAAATATTTTTTTCTAATTTTTACTAGATTGCTTAAGAAATTGTGGTTTGGTAAAAAAATATTGACGTCTAGGCAGCCAATATTACTACTTTCTTGTATTATTAGTTGCGTATGATTAACTTCATTGTTTTATTGACAAATAAAAAATAATATTAATTTATTCTCAACGACTTATTGTAGTTTGTTTATATTGCTTGTTAAAGTTATTTAGATTTCTAGAAAGGGAGAAAGTAGTGTTCAACATTATGCAACTGGTTGCCTAAAGAAGATCATTTTGACACTTGTTGCGATTACAAAAAATTACACTTTATATGTCAAAATTAGAAAAAGTAAAATTCGTCATTACTCACATGTTAATAACTTTTTGTTTAAAATGTGCCAAATTGAATTAAAAACTCTACCCGTTTTGGGAATTTAAAAATTGATATTTTGGGTAAAATTTAATTTATTTATTACTTTACGAAATCACTGTATATTGTTTAACGGCACACATGATTTTATTAAAATAATAAGGAATAAAGGAATGACTACTATTAATTTATAAAGTGTAAACGTCTTATTTTTATTACTTATGTATGTTTAGGTAATCAAAACTTTTGTGGAATAAAACTTCCAAAAAGCTAAATTAAATAATGTGCCAATATTTTATGTAAAATAATACTTAATTTATTGCGGTTTTTTTAGATTTCATTGCTTGTTAGTTTCTAAAATATGTTCCATAATTATAGCAAACCGGAAATTCAATTTAAGCTTAAGAAAGATACGGACATTTTTAAGTTTAAAAAGTATGTCAATATCATGTTTTAAGATGTTTCCAATAACTATTTAAAAAGGTAGTTTGGTAAAAAAATAAAATTAAAATAGATTGTATTCTTATAACGGCTGATCCTACAGAATGCATAAAAACTATGTTTAGGTAGGCCTATTTTTTTATTTTCCGAATACACGCTTTCTTGAGTGGTATTCCATATCACCCCCGGTACTGAGCCCCACCAAAAATATTTCTAATTCAGCTCCCATCTATTTGTTCATCATTCATGAACTTTGTTTTATAAATTACATTGTTTCCATCAATTTTAAATTTCAATTTCAAAATATAACAGTTATCTACTCGATTTCAAGAATGCTAATATAATAATCACCTATTTAATAATAATAATAATAATAATAAAAAATAATAAGTAAAGTACCTACCTACCACTTTCCATCCGGAATCGCAACTAGTTTCTTAAATAAAAAATATGATGTGTCCAACACATGACTTTCCTGTAAAATTATCAAAAATTGATTTACGGCCCATCTAATCAAAAGTATTTAGATTATGAATTAATAATAAAAATAATAAAAAAACATTTTTTCATATCTTCATTGTCAACGAAAATACTGAAATATTCAAATTATGCACTTTTCTTTAAATCTCTTTATTCAGGTCCATTTAAGAATAATTGGAAGATGCTTGGTTATTTACCCATACTTTCTATGGTTTTGCCCAGCTCTGTGGTTTTGCCCAGCTCTGTGGTTTTGCCCAGCTCTGTGGTTTTTTCTCATCTCGACATATCCCAAGTGTCTTCGGTCCTGAAGCTAATAGACTTTCTTCTGATTCCTCTGTTCCTTATAATTCTATGTCTTGTCCTTTTTGCCACATTCTCAATCTTTAAATGTAGAAGGGTGAGGTTTAAGGTCAGCTCCATTGCAGCCGTAGGTGCAAAGGTGATGCAAACACAGGCTAGTCTTTGTACTTTTGAGATATTAGCTCTCGTAGTAACTAACCTAATTCAGTTATTCCAGGCTACGCTCCGTAAATGATAATTAGTCTTACTATTGGTGTATACCTACTCGTACATCCATCACGGTAGGTATACCCTGTATAGGTTATAACGTTTATCGTTGTAAAGCATTTTTACCTCTGATTTTCACTAGTACTATATTTCTAATGATCTATGACAAGTAGGGGTTGCTATTTATTTATTTATTTTTTGTTGAGATAGTTCTCGCATCGGGGATTGACAGGGTCAATTCTGTAGTTTGTCATTTAGGTTTCTCCGTCCTATATTTTTGAACATTTTCGGATATCATCTGTATTTCATGAGATTGTTTTTAAATTGACTAATCACTGAAACTAACAATAACAATAGAGCATTTCCGAAAACATCAAATCCACAATTATCTCGTATTACTAACAGAAAACGTAATGATATAAAGGGAAACATTGGGTAGTTTATAAATTATAGTACATAAATTATATCTAAATGCCTTAAATAAATTATGAACGAATTAATTTCACGAAAAATGTATTGATGTTTTTGAACATTTATTATTTATAAGAAACAGAAAACTAAACAATAAGGTCGTATAAAAACACTGTTTAAATTGTATTTTTGTTTTCTAGCTCCGACAAAATGGCTCCGAACACTAATATGCCTACTGGTGTCCTTCATGAACACGACGATGAGGTCCAAGCTCAAATAATTCCTCCAGAAATTTCCAAGCCCAGTGATAGGAAACTGGAATTGGTTTGGAGAAATATAATACTCTTTGTGTATCTTCATCTAGTTGCACTTTATGGGGTTTACATTATGTTAACATCTGCCAAACTTATAACGTCTGCAGTTGGTAAGTATCTACATTCAACATATTAAAATGGGAATAATTCATTTTAGTTTTAATATAGTTAATTTTTTCTAATATGTGATAAAATATTCTAATTAACAAAGAATCTTTAAATTTACCCACATGTAAATTCTTAAAAATAGAGATGTACATTATAACGAATGTCCAGTAGAGTATTCTACGAACCGTTATTTAATAATTTTAATTTTGGTAAACTTACATTCTTTGCATGTATTTATATCGATTTCTTAAGTTTTATAGATAAAAAAAATTAACGAATAATTACCTAATTTGTTAATGTTTTGAGAAAATATAACCTCATTTACTTGAATTTTAATGATTACAGTAACGATTCAAAGTTTAATTAACAAATGTACGCCATCGTTCAACTCTTACTTTTTCTTTGAATTGATTCAGTTGACGTTTTTATCTATACCTAGGTAACTAAAAGTGATACACAAAAAATGTTTTTATAGTAAGCCATGACTGACAAAGACATAGATGCAATTTATCTCTATAATACGCTATATTAGTGTGATGTAATTTTCGTTCCACTGACAGTTAACTTCTAACCAAACTTTTTTAACAAAGAATTGAATTTGACATTCGTTACTATTTTTAGGTTTTTAACCGACTTCAAAAAAGGAGGAGGTTCTCAATTCGTCGGAATATATATATTTTTTTCATGTATGTTCAGCGATAATTCTTTTAAGTTGAACAATAATGATTGACTTCTTTTAAAATGGTCTAGTTGCACAAACCAAAAGGACGATTTTTTAATTTCCATTCAATGGGGAACTTTTTTGATTAAATACGATTCCTTTCAACGCCAGTTTGAATTTTTAAAAACTTATTAGGATCTGCCATTTTTGGTTTCTAAAATTCTCAGATACCAATTTTATTCGAAATCTGCCAACTTTTAAAATTAATTTTTATTTTAAAAACTGCTCACCCTGTATGTAACTAATCGGAAGTTTCAAATTATCGTCTAGGAATCTCGACTGCCAATGTCGGCATAATTTAACGGTAAGAGCATTTGTATGTATATTTTTGAGATTAATTTCCGAATTTTCAAATTATTCTACAATTAATTTACAATCTCTCATTTTGGGTGTGAGGTTTTAATTAATATTTAATAGAAGGGTTTCAAACTTAAATAAAAATGATCCTAATTCTAATATTTGAAGGGTGCAAAACTTTTGAAAGTAAGTGTATTTATAAAAGTTCAAAAATTATATAATTTAGATAAACAAAACGAACAAAACGCACTCAAAAAGTCTACTTGTACTGTAATTATCAGTCGAACCAAAATTGACATTTAAAAAAGAAGAAATGTATAATTTGACACTCGTGATTTTGTTCATGGCCTACTTTAGAAAAATCTTTTGTAGATCACTCCGTATTTAAAAATGCTTTGTGAATACGAATGTAAATATGGTGTACCTACATCCCGATTTTCATAAATTTTACATTTAGACAAATTTCCATACCGGAAAACTTATTTATCATTTTAATATCCACCAGATCGTTTAATATGTGAAAAAAATATCCTCGTATATTGTCTCTAAAATGATGATACACATGTTAACTCAATCCCGAAAAATAAATTGGCTGCCAACTCAAAAATTCCTTCTCTCATATCGTATTTAAATTCTTAGCCAATATTTTATTGCATTTTATACTAATACAACTTAAGATATTTTATTTAATACTAACCCATTTCTGTTCTTATTGACACAAATGTTGTCAATGATATTGCGGACTATAATAAAATATTCCAAGAACATAAAAAAAAACAATCATTTCAATTTATTATATGAATATTAGAAGCATAAATAAAAAATAGACGAACTAAAAATAAATTTGGGACAGATAGTAATAATTTCGATTTTATTGTACTTATTACAGAAACATGGCAATTAACAGATACATCACTTTTTAATATACCGGGTTATAATTTGTTTTACAATAAAGGATGGGAAGACTCACCAATCAAAATAATTTTATAGAAAACTTACCTCATTATTTAAAAACTGCAAATAAAGCAGATTTTTCATGTATTAGTTGCAGACATGAATGTCGATATTCTTAACATTGAAAATAACCAAATTCATGCTTACTTAAATACATTAAGCCAAGAAGGGTTTATAAGTCATATAAATAAATATACAAGAGAAAAGAGCAACGAAAAGTCTTGCATTGATCACCTTTTTATTAAATCTAACTAATTAAATTCTACTATTACATCAACTATTGTTTAAACACACATCACTGATCACTACTCAATAGTCAGTAATATAGTTTTAACTAAAAATTTAATGTTCTAAAAAATGCAAGTCAATTTTCAACAAAAAACAAAGGAAAAAATTAATAAAGAAAATTGGTTAGATGTATATGGTACAAATGAAATTAATATTAGCTTAACAAATTTTATAAACTAAAATGGTACATAGAGAGTTCTATGCATAAAGTAAAATTAAAAAGAAATGAAATTAAAATTCAGCCATGGATGACCCCGGGGCTACTTACATCTATCAAACAAAAAAATACATTATACAAATTGATGAAAAATAATTATACGGAACAAAATGAAGTAAATTTTAAAAATCACCGCAATTACTTAAATGTATTAATAAGAAAGGCCTAAACTGAATATTATAACCAAAAAATAAAAATGTTACCAAAAATCTTTGGAAGTGCATTAAAGAGATATCTAATACAAAAGGAACAACACAATATATTACACAAATAAATAATAACAAATATTTTTTTCTGAACATTATACAAAAGTTGGGGAAACCATGGCAACAAAATTAACTAGAGGTCAAAAATTAAAAATTTTTCAAAGAAAAAACTTTAACTCAATATTTTTATCAAGCACAGATAACAAAGAAGTTACAAAAACTATCTTTTCCCTAAAAAAAAATAATAAAAAACCAGGTTTAGACAACATAACATCCGAAATTCTTAGAGTTATATCAAACCGATGTATAAAAAAGGAGACTCACTTAATGTTATTAATTACCGACCAATTTCTATTATATCAAGCGTTGGGAAAATATTTGAAAAAATTATTAAAAAGAGAATGAATAGACAATATAGTTTTCGAAAACAAACCTCAACTTCGGATGCTATTTCATCATTGTGCATTTTTGTCGATCTTACAAAAGCATTTGATACGGTTAACCATCAAAAATTATTATTTTTGTAGCATGAAATAAGAAATTAAATTTCTCACTCACGCTCAGGATTTTCCTTTTGTGGGATTTCATTTTTATTTACCAGCGAAACAAATTATTAATTAATGTATATGTATTTCAAATATTGTATTTTTTATGGTAAATAAAAATTACTATTACTATAACTATGTTCTACATTTTTATAAATAGGGATTTAAAATACTGCATAAATTTAGTTCTGTTTCCAAATATTTTATTTCTCATTTTTTTAAAGATATTATTAAGGTTTTGATATGAGTTGAAATGTCCCTTATTCTATTTCTAATAAAAATATAATCATAATATATTTTTTTAAAAACCGTTTTTACCGTCAGAAATAAATTCTATATTTAGCAGGTTTTTATGATATGAGCAATAAAATAAAAATGTGTTATTTATTGGCAGAACAATAATACATTAAAAAACGAATTAATTCTAAAAGGTTTTTAATTATTTACTAAAAAAATAATAAAACTTTAAGTAGAAAATTGTCAGTGCATAAATTTTCAGTAACAGTACAGTTCAGTAGGATATTTTATTTAAAAAAAAATCTAAAATAGAAATTAGATTTAAATTTGTTCCAAATGAAGATATAAAGTTCTCAGTAGGTACCCAGAAACGTTACTTAAATTTTGATAATGATAATATTGATTAAACTAATTTTGCTATAAATAATAAAATTAATTGCACATTTATCAATTACGATTGCAAATCTCTTTGGTCATAATCGTCCTGAACACGCATGAACCATGCATACATGTAACAACTACCAAAATAAATCATTGATAAAATAATAATCTTATTAAATCACGTGTTCAAAAATTGCTTTAACAAATTGATTAATTATTTTTATCAAAATAATGAGGAAAGTTTAGGCATGAATGACCTCAATAAACGGGCAGACACTTAGGCACCGTTCGTCTTGTATAACCTTGTGTAGAGATATTGATATACTCTTGATCTTGACAATGATCTTTTGACTTCTATTGTTAGTACTTATTTTAAATTGGTACATTACAATTTTTTCCACTAAGCTATAAATTTTAACTAATTAAAAAAACTGTCGTTTATATATAATGTAATTACTATGAAAAATACACACGTGTAACATTCATGATCAGTTTCTAATTAAATAATCAAAATAAATTTACTAGTTTTAAGATATTTTATAAACTAAACTTATTACAAAACTTAAAAGCTTAAAGACTTTTTTTATCATACACCACCTATATTGAACTTTATCTTCTGTCAAAAGAACTATTTCTGTGATATATTTTAACTTTATTTTTAGAATCATTTTATTTTCTCTAATAAAATGATTTGTTCCAGGTATATTCCTATATATTTGCGGTGGACTTGGAATTACAGCAGGAGCGCATAGATTATGGGCTCACCGTTCGTATAAAGCAAAATGGCCTCTAAAAATTATTCTTACCACTTTCAACACCTTAGCATTTGAGGTAAGTAAACACAGTTGCGAAAAGAAAACAAAAATGAAACATTTTTTTGTCTTTAAAATCAATGTATACATTATTAAAGTAGACTTAAAAAATAGAATTTGGTTAACTTAAAACCTAGCAATAATGTTGTTTTGGTCCTTATTTTCCATTCTAAATTAGCACAAAATAATTAAAACAAAATACACGACAACATAACCCACTTTCATGAAAACTATATAACTTTAACAAGCAATATAAGTTACACAGTTACATACAAGTTACAAGTTGCTGAGAATAAAATAATGATTTTATGCATATGCAACCAACAATACATGAAAGTAATATTGGTTGCCTAGATGTCAGAAATTTTATACTAAAACACAATTTTATAAAATAATCTAGTCAAAATTAAAAAAAATATTAGGCATTCCAAATTGCCAGTGGTAAGATTTGATATATCTAAGACTTGCGACATACGATGTATTCTGTCTACAATACGTAAAATCATGAATAGAGGATTACATTTAAATATTTTATGTCAAACACAATAAAAATATTATTTAAAAAACCGCTTATACATTTTCTCATAAATTGACAGATGCAAGACTATGTCGCTACCCCCTCAGATATACCAAACTTTCCCACTGGCAGCTATTGTTTGACAGGTCGTTGGAATGCCTAATTGTATGTAACTCGTTACATAAAATAAGGCATTTCTTAACTGGTTGCATAAATATCAATTATAGTTACCCTTGATTTTTTTTACAGAACTCGGTGATTGAATGGTCAAGAGACCACAGAGTCCACCACAAATTTAGTGAAACAGATGCTGATCCCCACAATGCTAAAAGAGGTTTCTTCTTCTCTCACGTTGGTTGGTTACTTTGCCGCAAACATCCAGAGGTCAAAAGTAAAGGAAAGGGTATTGATATGACTGACTTAGAACAAGATCCCATCTTAGCTTTCCAAGACAAATACTACTTGTATCTAATGCCTTTGGTTTGTTTTGTCATTCCAACTTTGGTTCCTATGTATTGCTGGAATGAAACATTTCTCAACTCATTCTGCGTGAACATATTTAGGTATGTTTTTACCTTAAACGCTACTTGGTTGGTCAACTCAGCTGCACATCTTTATGGACAGAAACCATATGACAGGTGAGATCTTAAAATAAAAGTTTATAAGTAAATATACTTTTGCTTTACCGACTAAATTGATATGGATTACAATATTTTCATTAATAATTGTTCCTTTTATAGATACATCAATCCCGCTGAAAACATCTCAGTTTCTGTCTTTGCCCTTGGTGAAGGCTGGCACAACTATCATCATACCTTCCCTTGGGACTACAAAACGTCAGAGCTTGGAAAATATAGTACAAACTTTTCCGCTCTCTTCATTGACTTTTTTGCCAAAATAGGCTGGGCCTATGATCTTAAAACTGTCTCTGAAGAAATGATCAAAAAACGGGTACTCAGAACAGGAGATGGTAGCCACGAAATATGGGGATGGGGAGACAAGGACCAACCTAAAGAAGACTATCAAGATGCTATTATTACCTATAAAAAGGATTGAATTTAAAAAAAGTGATCTAGTGAAAAATTAGTAGTCGTGGACTTTAAAACATTGGTATTTAGTCACTAATGATTAAGAAATTGTTTAAAAAGTAACAAGGAAAAAGACAGGTTTATAGATTATAAAAATCAAACATGACTTAGTGAAACAGAATTTTGGATGTGAGGGTGTATCATTCATTATCAATATTTATAGTTTGTATGACTATTTCTGGTATGTAACGGCAAACTAATAACAGTTAACATCATTCTTTCTCATAGAGCCAACAATTTATTTATAATTAAACCAAAGTAGGTATGACACAAGAATCTCTCAGGAATTTTTTCCATCTCAGGAATAATAATAGTTCAGTGTACCATAATCAACTAGTGACAGTGGCTAAACCAATGTTTCGACTACTAAATAAAATAAAACTGTACATATGTGTAAAACTTAATTTATCTACCTACAAGAGACTGATATCAAATTTAACGTAACTTTCCACATACAGGTTTGTGACGATGACGGACCTATTCGTTTATTAACCTTCATTTTTTTGTTGGAAAATAGTAATTATTTTATTGGGATAAAAAAATGATAATTTTGTAATGAGTCTGTAATATATAAATAACAGACTAGTCACAAAAAGTTCCTTTTACTCCGAATAAACCATGTTTTCTTCAAACGTCAAATATGAAAAAATTTTAAAAACATGGAAGTTCACCATTATCAGAAGCTGAAATATATTGTTTAAAGAGCAAAAAATGGTTATCATGGGAAATGTGTATTCCATGGGATTTGAACACTATAGTTTTCTACGGCTATAACCCGCTGTTATTCATTTTTATTTAGTTTTTATTAATTTTTAATTAGTTTTTATTAATCATAGTTGTGGGAAATGAGCATTCCGTGGGAGTTACTTATACTATTTAGTTATACAACTTAAAAGCTGTCAAAAATGAAGTGGTAATAAAAATAAAACAATGTAATTGATTTGTAACTATACTAATAAATGTTAACAAATGAAAAACTTACATTTTAGAATACAACAAATTATTCTGTAGGTTTCTCATATTTTTCTTAAGATATTTATGGAATTAGATTTACAGATGCATAGTTTGCAGCTAAGTTTAATAACGTAGAATCTAATACTAAGTTGCTTTCAAATGTGACAAATAAAATATAAAATGACAGAATTATACAGTGACTAATTGTGTAGATCTGATACGGAAATGATTACATTGCGTTATCAAAATTATTACATTTCTTAATCAAAAATAGTTAAGTTAGTGTAGTTTTGTATTATATGCGTAGAAAAAATTACTTTTTGTGAAAAAAGTACATTTTTATCATCATCAAATTGGTGTTCTGGCGTTTGAAGAAAAAAGGTTCTTTTAACTATTTAATTGCAATGGTCTTTGAAAATATGCATTTCATTATATTTAAGTAAAATTGAAAATATGATCTTTCATGTATTGTTTTTATATCTTCTAAGAAAAATACATTTTAGGCATGAATATTGAACTGCGTCATCTTACCAGATAGGTACTATCAATGATTATGATTATTTTTTAACCATAGGCGTGCGATTGTAAATTCAAATTAAAAATAAAGTTAAATGTACTTGTCAGTAATGTGTACTTTTTTGTGGATGACACTGAATGACAAATCGGTTTTACCAAACTATTTTTTTATTAATTGCCAACCGTTAAAAAAAATCACAATCATTTACAGTCATGTAGCGATACATGAACATTTTTGCTCCATACGATGTAGTAAAATCTTAATTTTGAAATGATGGTAATTTGACTCTAACCTGCAAAAAAAAATTAGGCATCTTTGGATGTGAATATTCAATAACTTCATCAAAACGAGAAAAACGTTTGTTCCTAAAGTAGGCCTTGGAAAAAATCACGCATATCGGAGATTACAAATCTTCTTTTTTAAATTACAGTTTGGAATTTATTATCACGGGCTGTATTGGTCGGACATGGCCTACTTTATGAACATTACTATTACTTATTTATGTGACATAGTGTATTATAGTCAGAGATATCAGCTCAGAAATATTTGAATTGAAAACGATCTCAAAATAAATAATATAAAATCAGACTTTTAAATTTTTTAATACATACTTTACATTTGAACCAAAAGTAATTTTTGATGAACGATATTAAAATACTTCTGAGCAAAAAATTATAATAAATGTATATGTACTCTACTTAATTCTTAATTTTGTGGCTGTAAACAGATTTAATATAGTTTTATATTTCGTACCAAATTTACTTACTATACAATAGTAAGTATAAAAAATTAACCAGTGAAACTTCAAAATGAATGAATCTTTATTGATCTAAAAAGTGATTTAATTTAGTTAGAATTAGTTTTATATTGTACATTGTTTCACAAATTCCTGCTGAAATTGGTTACTGTAATATTCAGCATTTGCCAAATTTGGATGAAATCTGTGAAATACGTTAGTGGTATTACTTGTTGGATTTTATTTATTTATACATTAATTGACTAATTGGTGGTTAAGTAATGTTAGATATTTTCATTATTTGTATTTTGGCGATAAATAAATTTGTTTTTTATTCGTTTGTGTTTCTATTATATTAAAAGGGGGTAAGATTAATTCGTGCAAAAAGGGCACATTTTTGTGAATTTTTTTTGACGACACAATTAAAATCTGTTTATTTAAACTAATGGTACATTATAACATTCAAAGAATATTGTCTCAAATATAGAAATATTAAAAAAATACGGAAATGGCAGCATTTATTCGGAAGCGTCTCGGAAAAAAGTAAAATTGCGGTGCCCCCTCCTAACTCGGTGCTGGATCAGAAATAAAAAAATCAAAGTTCTTTCGTTAGATAATCGCTTTCCCCAGGTAACACTGGGAGGTTTTTTTCGAAATTTCAATTTTTCACTTTTTGGGAACACTGAAGTAAAAAACGCGATTCTTGCGAAAAAAATAGGCTAATATGTTATTATAAAATAAAAAAATATTAACAAATTTGAAAAAAAAACTCTCCAGTGTTACCTCATTATGTACAGAAATAGTGTTCAAAATTTAAAAAGGATAGGTGCAGTAGTTTTGAATTTATGAGGGGTACCGACTTTGGAAACGTGAGCTGTGGGAAAAACGCTTAAAGTTTTGAACACTAAAAAATTTGGAATAAAACGTTAATAAGCAAGTTTTATCGGCTTGTCTCACACTAAATCATCGATGCCAGGTCCATAAAGGATGTTGCTATCATCCATGATGTCTGAAGCATCTTTTTGCTCCTGTCTACGACGAATCCTCATTCATGAGTGCTTGACCCACTAATTGATTCCCATGTCTTGCATGGAGGTTAGTAAAGCAGAGGAACCTGCCAGGCCAATGCTACACTAAATTATATACAGTACAGGTATAAACACGTTTGTACTTGTGTTGAAATTTCTATAAAGAAAGGTTAGAGGTAGGGTTAGGGATTAATGATTATATAAAGAGCGAAACAGCTGCCAGGTACCAATAGCGCGCTCGGGCCGGGCAGGTGTTTTCTGATGCGCCGAGTCATGTATGAGGCGCGGTTACTCAAACCACTGTATCTTCGTTAGTTTTGCTTCGATTCATCTCAAATTTTTACACAATATTCTTTAAAAGTTCTACATTCACAAAATCAAATATAAAAAAAAGCAAAAAGTTTACCCCCCCCCCCTTAATCGTTTCCTTCAAAGCTACGAGAACGGTGTTTATTCTCTTCAATTATGAACACAGAATAATTATTTTTTAAAATGTTTGCAACAAATTTCACTTTCAAACTTCCCCATCGAGAATTTTCAAGGGATCATTTAAAAACTCTTAATAATGGAGGCAAGAAAATGCTTTGTTAAAGTTGAAACGTTGAAGAGGGTTTTTCCTTTTTATTTTCGAAACGTCAAGTGATAAGAAAGTGTAAAATTTGGTGGAGTTTGTAAGTTTTTATACCCAATGTAATAAACATTTAAAATTTTTAATTTTATTCAGAAGCTCATCAATTAGAGGTGGGCATAGGAAAAAATTGCCCCAACTTTTGCGTACGCCACTATTTTTCTTCAAGTAAATAAATCAACTGTAGAAACCTTTTAAAAGATATATTAATACAAAATATACCTATGTCAAGTAGGTAATTATGTAAGTCGACAATATATTATCTAAATACAATAAAAGGTAATTACATACAGTATGTCGCTAATGTATGGAATAAATTCATTATTTCTAAAATAATCGACTTTTGAAAAAAATCCAAAAACAGGTCAATTTTAATTTTTGAATCGTCATCACATGATGTAGATGTAACGAACATTACGTCACCAGTATTACCGTGGTGACGTAATCGGCAATTTTTTTAAATGCAACCATGTGTCTCAAAACACCTCATTGGAAAGGTCTTCTAATCTTCTTTACAACGATGTAATTATTTGAATATTTATTTCTACAGGGTCGACCAAAACTGTTTATTTACTAAAATACATAAAACTGTTTAGTAAAAAACAATTAAATTATATTAAATGTTCAAACTGATGACCTTCAGCAATAATGCAATGAGACAGCCGAGCAGTAAATTCGTCTCTAACGTTTACGAGAACTTCAGGCGTTATTTGTGCAATCTCCGTTCTGATGCGATCCTTCAACTCTTCTATATCATTTGGGCGACTTTGATAAACTTCGCTCTTCAAGTATCCCCATAAAAAAAAGTCTAAGGGTGTCAAATCTGGCGACCTTGGTGGCCATTCGATCGTTCCTCTTCTTCCTATCCACCTATCTGGAAAAACAGCATTTAACTAGGTTCGTACATCAAAGGCGTAATGTGGGGGTGCCCCATCCTGTTGAAACCACAAATCACATCTATTTGGAAATAGTTGATTTAATTGTGGTAATAGATAATCCTGAAGAAATTGAAGATATCGAGGACCGGTCAAGTTTCCTTCAAAAAAATATGGCCCTATTATTTGATTATTTATAATGCCGGCCCAAACATTCACCTTTTCAGGATATTGTGTCGTATACTCCTGCATCCAATGGGGATTTTCACTTGCCCAGTATTGATATGTCTGGCGGTTTACATGGCCGTTCAGCATAAAAGTTGCTTCATCCGAAAAAAGTATATTTTTTATGAAATTACGATCTTTGTTAGATCGTTCCATAATTGTTTCACAGAATTCAATTCTCCTATCAAAGTCATCTTCTAACAGCTCTTGGACCAAATGTACCTTATACGCATGCCACTTCTCCTTTTTCAGTACTCTAGCAACAGTAGAATGGTGTAAATTATTATCCAGCGCAACTTGTCTCGTGCTGGTGTGGGGTCTTTCTTGAAACTCTAGTAAAACGTTAACTTTTTTGTCTTCGGAAATTGACTTTCTACCACTTTTGGGGAGATCTTTAACATGGCCCGTTTCTCGAAACTTTTTCTCGATTTTACTAATTGTTGATTGGGAAATGGGTTCACGATTGGGGTATTTAGCATTAAATAAATTGCCAACTTCTCTCTGTGTCCTTACTCTATCTCCATAGCCAATCATCATTAATATTTCGATTCGTTCAGTTTCTGTAAGCTTCATTACTAAATTATGCTAATTTAAAGATTTTAACTATTGAACACTTGACTGATACACATCAATTAGTGTTAAATTAGAATTTAGTACTATTATCAGTAACATATCCAAAATACAGAAATATTTTTTGGGTACACTACGATGTTTTATTTCCAGTGGCGGTCCTTACAATAACTTAGTTCAGTGAATCAGAATTTATGATTAAGATTTTAATAAATAAACAGTTTTGGTCGACCCTGTAGAAATAAATATTCAAATAATTACATCGTTGTAAAGACGATTAGAAGACCTTTCCAATGAAGTGTTTTGAGACACTTGGTTGCATTTAAAAAAATTGCCGATTACGTCACCACGGTAATATTGGTGACGTAATGTTCGTTACATCTACATCATGTGATGACGATTCAAAAATTAAAATTGACCTGTTTTTGGATTTTTTTCAAAAGTCGATTATTTTAGAAATAATGAATTTATTCCATACATTAGCGACATACTGTATAGAAATCTTCTCTAATATTTAAAATATCTATAAACTTAAAATTCAAACAGGGTGATGCATATGTGCATCATTTGTATCTGTAACGTGTGGAGGGTGGGTTACATCCACGATACTTAGGCCTCACTAGGCCCATTGTGCATCCTCCTAAGATTATATATATCTCCTATCTCGTGAACCAGCCCACAGATTTAAATACAGTGAGCATCATAAGTCTTACCCCCTATCTAACTCGTTATTGGAGTCTTGTTAAGAAAGACACGTCGATTTTTGATTTCTACAATGTACATTTTGTATGAATAGTTTACCCTTAATTTAATTCCTTACTAGAGGGGAGCAACCCTTTCGAAAAATTTAAATGGCATGGGGTGGTGAGTGATACCTCATTTGAAAGGGGGTTTTATTCTCTATTCAACCGTGCAAAAAAATTGTTTCAGAATAACGGAAATTAATGTAGCGCACTCATCCTTAGAATTAAAATTCGGCCCTGCATGATATCGGTTTTGGTTCAGACGTGAAATAAGACTTTTGCTATTAGATAAGGTCACTGTTAGTTTAGTTGCTTTCCTATTTGTGATGTTTTGTTATTTTTAAACATTAATAAATCAACACGTAATGAAGTAAATTTCAAATTTTTTTGTACGGTTGAATAGAGAATAAAACCCCCTTTCAAATGAGCTATCACTCACTACCCCCCATGCCATTTAAATTTTTCGAAAGGGTTGCTCCCCTCTAGTAAGGGATGAAATTACGGGTGAACTATTCATTTAAAAATGTACATTGTAGAAATCAGAAATCGACGTGTCTCAGCGATTTTCCTAACAAGACTCGAGTAACGAGTTAGTTATGGGGGTAAGACTTATTATGCTCATTGTATGTGCATCATTGCGCAGTTAAGGATTAAGCAGAAGTCACTGTCATTAATCTGTATTGTAGATGTGATCACTAGTTGTATTTGGTTTTCTTTGGTCTACTTTGATTTTTATGTGATTTACAATCTCTCTAATTTAACGTTGCAACGTCTTGGTCGCTCATTGTTTTGTAAAAAGCATGACTTCTAATTATCTCCCTCCCCTTTTGCGACGTTCAAAGAAACGTATACTTACTTTGATAAGTCATGTTCCTTTAGTAACGGACGTCTAGATTATTTTATTACCCATGTTGTGTTTAAATAATTTGTAAAGTACTTCAGGATTCGATGCAAAGTTTGGTGCAAATTTATGAATAAAATAATACTCAAAAATATATTTAACATATTTTATCTTCAAATAAAATAATGTATAGACATGTGTCCCGCCCAAATAATCAGGCCATCTGCCATCAAATGAATACAGTTTAAGAATTATCAAGGATATACAGCAGCAGACGTTCTCAGATGAATTGCAGTCTTTTTTTTGTGTGTGTCATCGGCTTCAATTGCTAAGGTTATTTCGCCTCGTGTTCTGTGTAGGCTTTGTTACTGTTTCCCATCGCCACTTTAGGAACAACACTGTTAATTAGAACCAAACAGTGAATGGTCGAGTGGGGAATCCTACCAAGGCATCAGAATTAATTGTAAATAATTAAATTAATTGAAAAAATCCCGGCCAACGGTGGGATTCGAACCTGGGACCCTTGGATCCATAGGCAGAGACTCTACCACTGAGCCACAAAAATAATTTTTTGTTTTGTTCTTTTTTATATAGGTGACCTTACTGAAATAGTCATTGCAATAACAGATGTATTATCCCTTATGTTCAGCCTCACCTAGGGGGATTTTTTGTAGTGTAGTCTAACTAGAATAGTGCCAAATCAGTCGTAGAAAACTATCCCTTATATTCAGGAACTACCTACGGTGAGAATACAGTGGCGCATCTAAAGTTTAAGCCTGGGGTGGTAGTGCGGTAATAAAGTTTAAGTCTGGGGGGTAATGGTAATATTTAAGACTTTATTTTTGATAATAAAACATTTTAGTACCTATAAAAAGCGATTTAAAATTTCTTGGGATGAGTTACCTCCATCTTTATAAAGCACACGTATGTAGGCGTTTGCCAATAAAATTTATTTTAAATAAAACATTTTTATTGAACTAAAATAATGTTGAAACTTCTCTAAGCTTAACCTAAGATTTACATACTTGGAATATATAACAACACATCTATCAAAAATTATCTAACTAAAATTTATCAAAATCAATCACACCAACCTCAGTACGGTTAAAAATAATATCACGATGGGCAGAGGGAATAGGAAACACACCAGTCAGCGGATCAATTTCTTTTTTACAATAAAAAATTTTAGCAGTGTTTCTCTTTTTGTATTCGTAAATAATTTTATTAATATCTGAAACTTGTTTAGCAGTAGCTTGATTTATAAGTAAAACGAAAAAAACGAGTTGTGGATGTGTTTCTAAAAATGAAGAAAATAATTCTCGTTCGTTGCTGGTAGTTGAATAATTGATGCTATCACATTTTATAAAAATTCGGAGCAATCTTCTTTCCACTATTTGGTTTAGCCCAAGGAACAGCTTCTCTATGTTAACTCGAGGACACACCAGCCTAAAAAACATTAAAAAGTTAGAGCATCTCATATATAATATATCACTGAAGAAAACAAGAAAGAGTGTTTAGAAACGAGAAAGCAGACCTCCTAGCCAAGAAGGCAGCTGATAACACTCTAACTCAGGGATTCCCAAAGTGGTCGATACCGATCCTTTGAGGTCGAAATCGGTTTCCCAGGGGTCGACATACACGAAAACTGATTTTGGGGGTCGACGAGGTCTCAAAAATCGACCCCTATTAATTAACACAAGTTCTTATTTGAAACTTTCAAGATACTGTTAAGTATCGACACCTATTGGTACAATAATTGAACTGACGATTTTATTTGCTGGTCAGATACGTCAGATGTTAGAACTTTATAAGCGACAATTCGGTAAAATTAATTGTCAATATATATTTTTTTTAGTTATTGAGATTAAATATAACTAAAACTTAGTGATTCTTGAAGAATCAATAAATAATAGCATTACACAAGATATTCGTCTATATTTAGAAATAAATTGAGATTTTAATGAAACAAAAACCAATCTGGCACTTAACAAGTCACATTCCACATATCTACATGCTCTGGGTAATCAATCCTATAAGTACATATCAAAACATTAATATACTATCTACAATTAAACAGTAATATGAAAATACAGATGAAGCCCATTTACCTATTTAGACAAAATTACTATTATTCTGTTATTTATTAAAACACATTATTTTTTTGTATACATGGACATGCAAAATTCAGCACAGCACAGGACAGTAGCGACAGCAAGAATACTTTGGAATGTGCTGTGAAATACACTTAGAAAGGGTCATATGGAGAATTAAGTGTAATAACATTTTACGATGTGTATCTCACTATTTTTAACCGACTTCAAAAAAGGAGGAGGTTATCAATTCGTCGCGATATTTTTTTTTTATGTATGTATGTTCAGCGATTATTCTTTAACACGGTGTCCGATTTTAATGATTCTTTTTTTGCTAGAAAGGGGCTACTTCAGGGGTGGTCCCATATAAATTTAGTCAAAATCTAATAATTGGGTCCATGAGAAAATCCTCAAACTCTTCATTTTTGATGTATGTTTAGCGATAATGCTTTACCACCTTGTCCGATTTATATGATTCTTTTTTTGCTAGAAAGGGGCTACTTCAGGGGTGGTCCCATATAAATTTGGTCAAAATCTAAAAATTGGGTCCATGAGAAAATCCTCAAACTCTTCATTTTTTATGTATGTTTAGCGATAATGCTTTACCACCTTGTCCGATTTATATGATTCTTTTTTTGTTAGTAAGGGGGTACCTCAGGGGTGATCCCATATAAATTTGGTTAAGATGTGGTGATGGCATCTGCACGTTTTTGAAGTCGGTTTTTTTAAATTTTTTTAATTTACACTTGTACTTCACAGATTTCTGTCTATGTTCAATTATGTGCTGCTATTTTAAACTTTTAGTATTGATTTTTAACAAATCTTTAAATTAAAAACGAAAAGCGATATCAACATGAAATTTTTAGTAAAAATGAAGGAGATAAAGCCTATTGATACTGAAAAAAATATGAATATAAGGGCGGTTAAAATATAAAAAAAAAATCCTAACTGAAAACGAAAAATGATAACTTGAAATTTTTAGCAAACATCAATCTCTAAAAGGAGAAGAATCCCTTTAATTATAAAAAAATCTGATTAAATATGGGTGATTTAAGAAGGGGTTGAAATTAAAAAAAAATCAAAAATGGGGGTGAAGGGGGTCTGTTAAACTGCGAAGAGTATCATTTAGAATGCCAGGCATTACATATATTTATTCTAGTTTGTATCTGTGTAATATTATGTATTGTGATAGGACTGATCTTATAAAATAAACATTTAAAACATTTTAGTTCTTATTTTATTTGCCAATAAAAGGTATTTAAAAAATATATTTTTTATTTGACATCTGTGACAAATTGTGAATATGATTAAACTTACAATAAAAACTGAAAAATGGTAGGTAAAGTTTCATATAATATGTTTTACACAAAAATCAATGTCAAGCTTTCTACATAACCTGATATACATATATTTAAAAATAATCTCAAATTATGCAGAAAAGTCAGTTTACTAACTAATAATGTTTATAGATGGTTTTCAATGTATTAAAAACAAAACAAATATTACACTAACTAAAATATTCATTTATTAATAGTTGTAGTGCTTGAAAACAGTATGATGTTGAAAATAATAACTACACTTAATACAAACTCAAATAATAAAAAAACAGCGATATTGGCTCTTGCACAAAGTTTTGAACCGAACTTACAAATGATAAAATTATTGGAAAAAGTGAACACCCATTTTAAATTCCCACAAGCCGCCACTGCCCACATAGACCATACCGTTACCCACAAACCACAATAAGTACCAATAACGCCAACAGTAAATTTTAAAGTATCTTAAATGTTATTGGTCGTTTCGAAATGTTTATGAACTTAATATCAGACATACGTGAAACTAGCGTTTCCATGAGAATATCTATTCCGAGAATAGCATAACCTATTACCATGGGAATATAAGTAGTGGACTCTTTTTCCATGGATAAATTTTCCAATGAACTCGAGAATTGAGCCCCTGAGGGGAATCGATTTTTCAGGCAGTGGAACGTTTTTTTACCGACAAAGCTATTCCATTGTTTCTGTTGCTTCTGATGGTGCAACATAAACATAAAACTTAACCAAAGAATCCAAAGATGTGACGTGTATTTATGTTTTTGGTTATTCTTATTTTTCCGTCTGAATTTAGTATTTTTTGGTGGCTTTGGCTTTTGGTTTCCGTATATAGATTCTTCTTAGTTATTTGCAAAATTGTGATGTTTTGTTTTTCTATTTCCTTCTGTATTTTGCTATAATTTTGGTGCTACGTTGAAAACTTCGAGAAAAACTTCATTGATTTACCTTGCATCATAAAAAGACAAACGGGTAAAACTAATTGATAATCAATTTATCACTGGACTAGATTCCGAAATCATTTTTCACATAAGAGAGTATACCATCTGTATTTGGAAGGAAAATATTTATATCAGTGAATATATTACATTTATCCTCAGGTAAAAGGACATTTATAAAATATAACTTTTGTGTTAATAAAATGTAATATCCTAGTCTCTACTTCACATTTAAATATATTGATATTTTAAAGATTTGAGATTGTATACCTATTTGCTCCAAGTAAGTATTCGTCAAATATGTATTATTTGTATTTATTTTGTTCTAATTATATTTTTCTACACCCGTATTATAATAATGCACTTATATGCCCATAATCCGTTTCATAATGATACCCATTATGACACAGATTTTTCATAACGATACAGATTTTTAATCAATAGAAACCCATAATTTTTCAAACAAGCATGCTGTGCATTTGACGTTTATCCTAGGTTCCTCTGTAATTGTTTTAGTTGTCAAAATCAGTACGTATTAAATTTTCGTAGATAGCTAAACTTCGATAATTATAATATCAAAATGTCTCTCAGTGATATAGAAAACTTACCATCGACTCCTCCACACATACCGGAGAAAGCAAAAAATTCAATACAAAATATTTGGCCCATTAATTACAATTTTGTAGAATTTTTTATAGAAATACGAGTAATTACGTGATTATTTATCGGGTGTAGAAAAAATAGCGTATGCAACTCTCATGTAATGGTTATTAATACATTCGCATAAACCATACGAAACTCGCTTTCGGCTCGTTTCGTATCCCGGTTAATGCTCGTGTATTAATAACCATCATTACATGATCGTTGCATAATATACTATTATTTAAGATATTAATAAACATATTTTAAGAATGTTCTATTTATTATTTATTGATATATCTTATATTTATTTAATAATAATAATATGCAAAACCAACTCTCCAAATTAGACCAATTATAACAAATTAATTCCTTAAATCTGGCATATCGACCTAAATTATTTTGTAAAATAAAAGTTTCGAACTTACTAGTTCCATACATTATTTTATGTGGAAATCATTTAAAATTTAATTTAGAAGTACTACCTACTACTAAAAATTATAATTTGAATTTACCGCCATCTGTCAATTGTCATTTTAGTTCCTGCTCCAAACACAAAATGGCGCTAATTTGGTTTAAAAGTCTAACATTGGCATGGGGTCTCTAGAAGATACGGGCTTGTGAATACAGCTTTCCATAAAAAAAAATGAGGAACAGGGGCATCCCTCAAAAAAAATACGATGTCATTTATGGTAGGATTAGGGTGGTTTTTACCCTTCCATGATTTCAATTGGTGTAATTTTTGCTTTAAACAATGGCTCTTCAATTAAAATAGCTATATACCAAATTTTATAAAAATCGAACGAAGCGTTTTTGAGTTAATAAAAAAAAATGATTTTTTTTTCAACTTTGAAGCTTTCTCACAGGCGAATGAAGCACTTTGTGATATAGGTAATTTTAGCTCAATCGACTTATTTTGAACTCACCAACATACAGTAGTTCTATGTACACAAAATTGTGGGACACCCTGTATAACATATTGTCGCGCAAAAGCCTACCCTGTGCTGTTTACTCCTTGCCCGCGTTATGAAGTCTGGGGCTGGCAATATAGAGACAAACGCACCGCTTCTCGAAACTACCAGAACAAGCGGTACGTGCCGTTGAGTCATAGAGATGGAATTCTCGGACATTTCACATCGTTTAGAAACGTCTCGTACTGAGTTGGGCTTGGTATAAATAGCGCGAGTTGTCGACGAACGGGCAGATGAATTTAAGTGTTAGAAAAGATAAATTGTAATAAAAAAGTTATAGTTATTATAGTATTATATAAATTAATTAGTACGTCATAAATAAATTGTAAATAGTGTGTTTTAAATAAATAAACTATAAATATAATAAACAAACGTCACAATATCTTAGTCAGAATACGAGTAGAAAACACGAGATAATTTTTTTTTTTGGCAAATGCTATTTCTTAAACGGTAACGGATAGAAAATTGGTTAAATTAGACAAAAGTTGCGTAGTTTTGTACTCATTAAAATGGACAAAAAATTAAAATTGTCATTTCTTTAATGTCATTCATTTTTTATCCGATATTTCGAATCTCCCTGTATATATCAAAGGTTTCTTGGAACCATTTTAATGTGCACAAAACTGCGCAACTTTTGTCTAATTTAACCAACTTTCTAATTTGTTATTACCTTTTAACAAATAGCAATAGTGTTCATATGAAATAGTAGGGACCCTGTATTTAGGTCAGGCGCCGATACAAAGTATCAGTAAAAAAGTGTTAACCCTTAACTGGTAAGCTGGGGTCTCGCTAATAATTTTTCAGTTTGGAACATTGCCTTGCGCGTTTTAGTAGCTGCGCTCAGTAACTTGCTTTAGTTGATCCTTAAGAGCGGTACTGGTCTCATCTCACGTTTTCGAGATATTTACGTTTGGAACCCAGCATACTAGTTACGTGTTTTTTTTTTAGTTTGGCAACGGCGAATAAATATTTAACAGAGCAAAAATTAGAGGACTTAGCTGCAAACCTAAGTGACATAGAGGAACCTACGGAACCTATTGACAATTTTTGTGGTGAATCCGACGAGGGTATTACTGATGCGCCAACTGAACAAAGTAATCATGACTCTGCGTCTGAAGTCGAATATTCCGAGAGCGAAGATGATAATGGTGTTGCAGGTGGAAGCGAAGCAAGTACAATTCAAGATACAACTAGTTATTATTACAGAAATAACCGTTACAAATGGTCTAAAAAGACACCAAAGAAAAATTTTCGAACTCCAGCTTACAATTTAGTAACGCACTTAGCTGGAATAAAGGGGCCAGCTCGGGAAACAAAACCTTCCACACCATACGAATCTTGGAAGCTACTCATTACTGATGACATTTCACAAATTATCTTAGAACAGACAAACGCCAAAATAACTGAGTTGGCTGTAAAATATAAAGATAATCGCGTCTCCTATGTCGACCATCTAGATATAGTTGAATGGAAAGCGAGAAGACATGGCATCCCTGTTCTCGACAGATGGTACTGGTACACCAATTTTCCGAGCCACAATGTCGCAAAAACGTTTTCTATTTCTTATAAGTGCAATTAGATATGATGACGCTACCAATCGGAAGGACAGAATTGCTGCTGGTAATAAATTGACTGCAATTTTAAAAAAATTTGAAATATTCATAAAAAACTGTCAAATAAACAATTCATGCTCGCAGTATGCTACTGTCGATGAGATGTTAGTAGCCTTCCTAGGAAGATGTAGCTTTCGTATGTATATGAAAAGCAAACCTGCCAAATATGGCTTAAAAATAATGTGCCTAGTCTCTTACGTGCTTAAGAAAAATATAGCCGTTATTTTAGTCTCTTCGATACATCACATGGATTATATTGATCCAGTCACTCAAAAACCTGAAATAATTGAGTTCTACAACACTACAAAAGCTGGTGTAGATAGCTTGGACCAGAAATGTACTACTCATGTAACCGAAGAACTCGCAGATGGCCGCTGACTGTTTTTTACGCAATTCTGAATATAGCTAGGGTTAATTCGTACGTTATTTTCAAAGGAGTTAACCCAAACTCAAAAATAAAAAGACGAGAACATTGAATATCTCTGGGAAAGGAACTCATGAGCACCTAGTAAATAGACTGAAAAACAACAAACTTCCAAGAAAATTGCGCCTCACAATCACTGATATACAACAACAGTTGAAAAGGCAGAGATGTACCATGTGTCCAAGATCAAAAGGTGTAAAACATTTAACAAGGTGTTCTAAATGTAAAAATAACACTATACAAATACGATAGAATGTACATCCTGCATTAACAATGATTCATTGTAAGGTATAACATACCTGTCAGTTTTGTCAAAAACAACACATTTTTTTAAAGCTGTTTACGTATAAGAGTTTTTCAGTATTTTTTTTGTTTTTATATCTATGTCGCTTCCTTATATTCCAAATAATATAGAAATACTCAAACAATTCCAGGTTTTTTTATTCATCTTTAAAAAAAAAATTGGGGCCACCTATGACCCCAGGATACCAGTTAAGTTTCAAATTGCTTGCGTACCAATTGAGGGTTAAAGAAAAAGTAACGCAATCGAAGGTATTATACATTATTGAAACAGTGCTTCAATTTGATAGCCCACACGATGACATAATTTTTTATATAATTTGAAATTTACCTCCACCCAAACCGGACACCTAAGTTAAAAAATTCAATTAACGCCTGTATTTGCGCCACTATTCACTAGAACTGTTTAAAATTGCAACTCCGTACAACGTACAACAAATAATTCTAAGTAAAACGCATGGTCAGGCGGACGGATAACATTCAGGTGATTCCATAATTTATTTATTTATTTGTTTATTTAGTAATACACCACCATAACAGCGTGCGCCTTATACAGGGTGGGAAAATACAATGATAAAAAATATACTTACAGTAATTCACAAATTAAAACTAATATACAGGGTGTTTCAAAAAGGTATGTCATAAATTCATCCTCAAATAGATTACCAAAAAATAAGTGGATTTGGCTATATTTACCTATATCAAAAACTGGCTCCCAACAAAGTTACAGGGTGTTAAACTAAAATTCAGAAAAACGTTTTTTTTGTAAAAAGTTTGCTGTTGCGATTTTTTCATCGAAATTTTTGCCAGTGCTGTAGATTTGAAGGCTCAATATTCTAAGGAGAAAAAAAATTAAAGCGACCCCTTTAAAAAAAGTTGGGGGGTTGGGTACCTTTTAACCCCCCGTATTTGACTCCAATTATATCTACGTTGGGTGCAATGTGAGGTATACAAGATACATATATTTGACAAGATTTAAAGCTAGGTTTTACAGCAAGCACGACACCACCGCCCTTTGATGCATTAGTAATTTCAAAATTACTATCCTTTCTATAGAGAACATAATATTTTGTATTAACAATTTCACTATCAAAAATAGCAGGGCTTAGCCAAGTTTCACATAAAGAAATGGTATGATAATAGTTAATTTTTACCAAAATGAGGACGGAACAGTAAAAATGAAATCTAAACTTACCGAAAATGTTTTAAAGCAGCTGCATTAGGTAGCTTCTCATATAAATTTTTAAGAAATGTTTCATTGGTAGAAGTTATGGTTAAATTTAAATTTTCCAACTTTAAGCAATTTTTGAATAGCTGAAAGAAAATTTTAAAACTATTTCAATAGGTCATATAATCCCAAAGTAGAAAGTAATTCTATTCTTTCATCTAAAGTAAGGCAGTCTTAATACTCAACACAATGATATATTGAACAAAATATCGTTTTTATATAGTTGAGATTTACCTGTTCCAAAAATGAGCCATCCAACAGAAGTGGTATCTCAAGATTAAGTTTTTCTAATTTTTTAAAGTTTGCAATCAAATGATATGCTGAAATAACGGCTCCACTATTGCACCTATTAAAGAATATATTATAATAAAGTTATGACATATTTATATATTTACCCTGGGCAATTATAGATCTCCAATTCAACCAGATTTTTTAAATTTGTAGCAACTTTGTGGAATGGATGACTCAAAATATCTGTTTTAACACCAATTCTTGGTTTCTTAAATATGAGGATATCACCTTCTCGCTTCTGAGTTCGAAAAAAATCTAAAATAATAAATATAGAAAGTGTTAAACCACAATTTATTTTATAAACCGACCTTGGAATAAACATGATCTAAAATTTAACTTCTTCAAGCTCCTACAATTGTTTGTCTTTAAAATTTGAAGTGCAGCATCCACATATTTTGAATTACATAATATCACAGTATGGCAAAAATGTAACTCTTCAAAATGTATATTTTCCAATTCTTCTCTTATGCTCAAAAGCTAAAATAATTAAAGTAAGATTATTTCTATTTATACAGGGTGATTAATTGGGAAACGGATATACATTAACCATGGATGGAACTACCGAGCCAATTCTAAATAACCCCTGTTTAAAGGGTCTTTGGCCATTTATAATTGTTAGAAGTAGTTTCTCACAGTGTATGTTTGTATTGTCAAATTGACTTAATATAATAAAGATATACAGTGCTTCCCAAAGTCCCCTTCCCCTCTCTTTTTATTTTAAACAGTAATACTTAGACCGATGAGATATGGAGGATGAAAATGAACTACTAGTGGTAACCGGTGACGTACTAATCACAAGGCAACTGGAACCAATAATATTAAATGAGACCTTATGGCAAGTGACACCTTGTTTGAAAGGTATTTAGAATACCTATTCAGCCATACTAATTTTGTTTGGAGTTTTTATAATATCGGTAGTTTGATTTTTTGAAAGACTAGCTACAAAACAGCAAGGAAAAGTATGTAATGATTTCCATAAAATTTGAAATGAATTACTTTTTATTTGAATTATAAAGAGAAATATTATTGTGTGAATGGTTTATTTTGAACATTTTGGGTTAGGGTACGACCTCCGGGCCGAACTCGGAGCACATTTTGTTTATACCCTACAATAATTTGAAATTTTATCATGCCTGGAGCGAGCTATAGTTTTGTTCTTTGCATTCACAATTTTTACTAACAAAACAGAGCCCGAAAGCTTTACAATTTGAGTTAAACTAGTAGTTTTATTTAAAATAATAATAAAGATTTATTAGAAATCAATTTTGCTAATAATTTTATATTGAGATAAAATTATCCATCAACCCCTTACATTTATGACGATCTTGACAGGACAGTAAAGATGAAAAATTGCAAGTTTCAGCGTGAAACAAGTGTTTAACAAACACATGTGGGGCATTAGACGTAGGCCCTAGCAAACAAAGTAATTAAGAAAGTGCTAGCCTTGTTAAGAAATTGAGAAGATAAATTAATAGAATTTTTAATATAGATTAATAATAATAATAATAATACTCTCCCTAATTCACCCCCTTACGAGTGAATTTTAACCCCAAAAGCTGAGCTTGTCCGGGGAAAGGGACGGCTATTATTATTATTTGCCGTGGCGCTCCGGGGGACTTAAAGATGATTGATGGTGCCATTTGACTTACAAGTGAGGAAAACCCGGAAAACCTCACCCACCATCATCGAGACGGTAATGTATGGTGAATTTTTTTAATCTGCATGTCATATCAACAGAAATTGAATTTCTATTAATACGCCACACATCAAATCCTAAACCGAACCATGCAATTTAATTAAAAATCCACATGGTCTGGTCTGTGATTCGAAACCCAGCAGTCTCAGACTCATAAACTTGCCTATAAATGAATATAAGCGCGATAGACCGCTACACCACCGTGCCCGATTAAAGTGCCTATTCCTAGAAAGGGCAAGAAAACAAAAGTTAGAAGACAAATTTGTAGAAGCAGAGACTTTCAGCGATAAGATGAACTACTGTAGAGTACAATGCTACTTCGATATTCAAGCAAGAGATCCAGAAGAAGGATCAAGCACGAAAGGTACAAGTAGGATGAAAATTTGACGGAAATTTTAGAAACTGGATAGGATTTTTTTATCTGAATTAGGATTTATTTCAAAGCCTACTTGTACTAAAGATCTATGCTTAATGTACTCCTTGATAGGGTTTTGTGGACAGTTTAGAAAAATCGATGAGTATGAAGAATTGGTAACTTTAATTATGTATCTAAAAATTCAGAAGATTTTCTACCACTTAGACCTGTGATGTATCTCCAAGGTTTACCCAGTAACGAAAGTGTAGATGTAGACACCATCGACCGATATCATTTAGTTAGTAGATATAGATTATTACAAAAATTTACTAGATTTAAAAAAGCGGAGCTAGTGCAGTTTGGTCAAAGGAACGCAACTTTCTTAAAGGTTGACCATATCGTAGATGTGGGGTCCGATAATATTAAGATAACTCATTGGTACTTAGGAAAGCTTATAGAAGTAATTCCCGCGAAAAATGGAAAATTTATGGTGGCTAAGATTAAAACAGCACACAGCGAGATCATTCGACTCATTTAAAGATTGTACCCAATGGAAATAAACGTATTGGAATATACAGCAACTAACGACCTAGGATAGCCATTTACATTCCTAGGATGCAATATGTCACCAAAAGGAAAAAGAAAACGTTGATTCTGGCATTTTCATACCTCGCCTCTGACGCAACCACTCCACCGCCCAGTAAAGAAATGGAGGATCTGATTAAATACTGCCTCGACCAAAAGTTTGAGCTGGTAATAGGTTGCAATTCAAATCCTTATCATTTCAGTTGGGACAGTAAGGAAAACAACAGTAGAGGTAAGTCACTTTATGATTATATAATTACCAAAAATTTTTGTATTTTAAATAAAGGCACTACACCAACATTTTTAAACTCTCGCAGTCAAACACTAATAGATATTACTTTATTCACAACTGGTATCTATCTATAAATCAATGTTAAACAGGCAAGTGTCTGATAAAATTTTGATGTCAGACCACTGCTGGTTAACATTCAATCTCCACGCTATCTCGGAACCCTAGGAAGACGGACAGGGCAACCTATGTCCATCTTCTCCAAGAGGCACTAAGAGAGGTGGAGGCCGCAACACCAAACAATAACAATGCTTTGGAAAAGAACTGAAACACTATCCAAATCACAATAATCAAGGCCTATAAGAAATCCTGTCTTCTAAGGCTGGTCCAACAGATCAGACGAATGCCGCAAGGCGGTGTCACGAATTGGATCACCTAAGGAAAATGGCTAAATCCTTTAATAAGACAAGAACCACCAAATTCAAAGAGAACTGGTTACAAATATCACCTCAGAGAATTAAAACAAAATCGTTAGACAAAAACAGATAGATGCATGGACATCCGACTGCGAGGCTCCAAAAGCTCTCTCAAAAGATCCATACCGCAGCATTGGTGCGATAATCAAAGAGGGTGGCATGAAAACTGCCAACCTCAAACTTCTGCTGTCAATACACTTCCCTGACTCGGTAATCACAGATGTGACCGACAGGGCAGAGGAAGAATACAACTCATCTGTCTATGATTAGAAAATCGCCAAACAAATTGTAGACGATGACATAATTAGATAGGCAATGTCTATCCAACTCTACTTCAGTGGGGTCTGGAAGAACTCAGATCGCACTTGGTAGACATATTCAGATCCTCATTAGCTCTGAGGTATATCCCCAAAAAATGGAGGTAAAAGTGGTATTCATACCAAAACCTGGACAAAAAACATACCGACCAATTAGTCTGTCATCGTTTTCCATGAAGACATTGGAAAGGCTATGCGAAAGGTACATAAGGGATGCGGTGATTACAACTACGCCCAAATCAACAAGCATACACCCCAGGTAGATTTACTGATTCAGCCCTGCACCTAGTTGCTGGCCGGATAGAGATCCCTGGACAATAAGGAGTTCGCCATGGGTATTTTCAAAGATATAGAAGGTGCTTTTGATAAAACTACCTTTCCCAAGATAATACACTTACTAACCAACAGGAATGTTTCACAGATAGTTAGTGGGTGAATACCTACAAAACATGCTCTCAAAGCGAGCAGTAAACATAAGAGTAGAAGATGTGGATATAAGAGGCTTGGTTGCAAGGGGATATCCACAGGTAGGGGTGCTATCACTTCTACTGTGGAACATGGTCCTCGACACCCTCATCAGCCGCCTCAATGACAGTCACTATACAATAGCGTATGCACACAAGAAATGTTGAGAACATACTCTGTGAAAGAATGCAAGTGGTTCTCAAAATTATAGAACAGTGGTGCAAGGATTATTCACTGTTTATCAATCCCAAGAAGACAGATCAGTTCTGGTCTGGTCTGAACAAATAATTTAAGCCTCCAGAACTAGTAAACACAAAATTACACTTTGGAACAGAGGTGAAGTACCTAGGTCTCGTCTTTGACAGCAAGTTAACATGGAACTCACACTTAGAAAACAGAGTCAAAAGAGCATACATTGCTTATAAACAATGCCGCTGAACCGTGAGGCATACCTGGGGTTTCTCCCCCAGAGTCGTCGGATGGACTCAAACGGCCATCATAAGACCTATGCTAACATACGGTGCAATTGACCTAAAAATTGACAGTTATCCGTTGCTTTTGGCAGGAGGCGCTCAATACGCTCTCACTGCTTCAAGCGAACATGACTTAATCTCACCGAGATATATCTTCCATATGCCATATAAAATTAAAACAAAACAAATAGAAGAGCCGGGAAGTGGCAGGTACGATTCATATCTACACCGACGGTTCTAAAACAAAACAAGGCTCAGGATGTGGAATATACTCCAGATCCTTAAACCTAAACATAAAATGGGCTGTGAGCAATAGTGCCAGTCTAGTTCAACAGAACTCACGGATATTATCATAGCAGCAAAAGAAATCATCTTAAACAATATTACTGGAAAGAACATGCTCATCTATACAGATAGTAGACAAGCACTACTCACCCTGAACAGACCACAAATTTATTTAGGATTAGTACTAGAATGTCACAAAGCTTTGGCCGAAGTATCCATCAACAGTGTGGTCACCTTAAGATGGATAAAAGGTCACGCCACATCGAAAGGTGGTTACCATTGCTGATACACTGGCCAAGAAAGCAGCCAACCAAATACTATTTGGACTTGGCCCTTCTATTGGCCTGACAAAGAACATTCCCTTGTGAAATCCAAGGAAAGATGGGATGAAACAAGAAACTGCAGAGTTGCCAGAGAGCTTTTAAGTTATCCTGACAACACTACAGCAAATAAATACTTGACTATGACTAGACAAAATCTGCGCTTGGTCACAGGCATTCTGACTGGTTGGTCATTGCCAAGTACGGAAGCATCTCCATATCATGGGGTGTCAGAATCCGCACTCTGCAGGGGGTGCGAACAAGAACATGAGACTATCAAGTATATCGTCTACGATTGCCCGACGCTCTTATTTATTAAAAGATTTGTGTTCGGCAAGTATCGGCTAACACCGGCCGATATAAGAGAAGCACCTCTTGGCGACGTTGTCAACTACATGGGTCTAGTGAGGCCTAAGTGCCGTGGGGTAACCCACTCTCCACACGTTACAGATACCGTAACCAGAAAAGGACGGATTGTACGAATACCGCAACGTTTTGGGTTTTAGTTAATTTGTTATTTGGTTACAATAAAAGGGTAGACGGATGTTGGATAAAGTTTCCCCCCGTATATGTTTTGTATTGTCACATAAAGATTTACTAAAAGTAAATTGCTAATAATTTTATATATAGATATAAGACAAATTATTATCCATCAACTTCTTAAAATAACCATGATATTATCAATTATATCCATGTCTTCCTTTATTTATGACTTGGGAAAAACACCGTAAATTTAACGTTTGGTATACAACAAAAGTAGAAAAATTCAGGTCCGGCATCACAAATTCACAAATTCTTCTACACTCAAAACAGCACCCTGATTCTTTATAATTCGTGTTAATATTTAAAAAGAGCACGAGAAACAATTCAACGATGGTATTTTACATTTATCCTCAGGTACAAAGATTTGTGATTGTATACCTTTGTTCCAAGTAAGTATTCGTTAAATGCATAGTTAAATATGTATTATTATTAATATTGGTATTTATTTTGTTCTAATAATATTCTGATTCTTTAAATTGGGCACTATCGACCTAAATTATTTTGTAAAATAAAAGTTTCGAACTTACTAGTTCCATACTTTATTTTATAAAATAATTTATGTGGAAATCATTTTAAATTAATTTAGAACTACTACCTACTACTAAAAATTACAATTTGAATTTACCGCCATCTGCCAATTGTCATTTTAGTTCCTACTTCAAACACAAGGTGGTGTTACTTTGGTTTAAAAGTCTAACATCGGCGTGTGGTCTCTAGAGGATAGGTGCGTTGTGGTTTCAATGTTTATCGCATTGTAATAAAGTTAACAGTTACATCTGGAGAGCAATCATTTTCCAAATTAAAAATAATAAAAAAATATCCGAGATTTACCATGTCACAAAAACGGCTCACAAATTTGAGTATCATAGCAATTGAAAATGATATCTGTAAAAATTTAGATCATTCGCAACTTATTGAGGTTTAGGGGTTATATTTTGTTTTTCCTGTGTTACTTATTAAATATTATATTAGTGAGTATTTAATAAAATATTTTTGTTTAAAAAATTTAATTTTAAAATAGAGGCGGCATTTTTATGCCTGCACAAAGGCGACAGAGGGGCTAATAACGGTCCTGCTTCATAATTTAACGTAATAAAAACCTGTCCTACTCCATTTTGTATCCCAAAAATAATCAAAAATAACAATTTGAACTTAAAATGTAAACAAAATGGTGTGCATAAAAATAACCTCGTTGATTTAATTTTGTGCTCTTTTCAAATATGGATAAGAAATTTGAGAACTTTTTTTATACATCGGTATATTCGACAAGATATGGATGTATCAAACGTGAAAAAAACAATGGGATTGGTCCCAAGTTATGAATAAGGAACGAAATTGTTAAAATTCATAAAAAATCCTATATCTTGGTTATAAACGCCCAAAGACCCATGAAACAGGGGCCATTTAGAATCATTTTGGTAGCCTCTATCAACGGTTAACGCATGCCTGGTTTACCAATAAATCACCCTGTATACTTTTCTTACCTTATATTCTTTTGGGCCACATGGTAAGTCAGCATGCAAACTTTCGAAAACATCCCAAGCTTTTTCAATATCACTTTCTTTGGGTTCGAAAATAGACTTTTTAGTACTAGATTTTCTATTTAATATTCTTTCTAAAAATTATGTGCGATTATTTTCCCATTCAAAAAGAATACGCAACTGAAAATTGTCCTTAAAAAAATGTTAACTTGAAGTTTCGTTAACAGTAAGACGCTATTACTGAGGATGTTAGTTCTTAAATATTAAAAAAATATATTTGTATTTTAAAACATATAAAGGGTGTCACAATAAGAATGCACGATTTGAATTGTGCCGTGTTCATATGTTGTTCGCAGTATGCCATCGAAATATTGATAAGAATATAAACAGTCTGCGATTAGAAGCCACACGGTAAATGACAACCCTGTTTTTTCTAGCTTTTTCAGGGGTCACTACCAAACTAAAATAATAAGACATACCTAGCTACTTTTTCGTTCAATTACCGACAAAAATTAACCATAACCCCTTGATTATGCCCCTAGGACAAGGAGTGAGGGCAGATATATTTAGCACAATCAATACTTAGAAATTACACGATATAATTGGCGAAGATATCGTTTTAGCTCCAGTAGGAAACTGCATCGGGCCGCACAATGTACTGTGTACAGAGTGCGAATTTTTTTATATTCGTGTATGTAGACAATTTTTAAAACAGGTGAATAAATGTTTTTAATTAATTAAAAAGCCATACGTTCAAATGAGCTATTATTTAAAAATATCGCCTGTCTCTATCAAATATGGTAACCTTATTTTGACAGCTACACATACGCATTAATATATTTAGTAAGAAATGGTTTCATCAGGATGGCGCGACCTACCACACTACAGCCGAAACAATTAGACAAAGTTGTTTCTGTACATAATTAGTTTAAATAACAGCAACTGTGTGCTTTAAAGCTACCATTTGGGAAGGCGCGACCCGAGACAGACTTCAAGCGTAAGACGACACGAGGGAGACCAAACACGGTCTCTTCGCGTCTGCACACATATATGAAACACATTTCGGAAGACGCGACCGACAACAGCAGATTTAGTATGGCAATATTTGCCACCTTACTGCTGTCTCGGTCGTCTGTCGCGCGTTCCCAAATGGTAGCTTGAGGGTGGATTTTGAATAAAAAACAGGTGTGATTTTATTACTAGTTTTGCAGTGACACGTGAAAACTAGAGATGCTCGTTTTCTGAGATGAAATTTTTTGAATTAGAGTACTAGAAGTAAAAGACATGTAATAAAAACAAAATACATTGCAATCGACTGATTTGTTTTTGATATTTTGTGAAGCATTTACATGCCAGTAATGTGTATAGTTGTAAATTGTGAGAGCAGATCTGATAGAGAGACAATCTATTTCATTTTTGTTCCAACTACAATGAAAGTAGCTATTTTCTAAATTAATCCTTGTTCTATTTCAGTCTGTTATCCATTTTAACAGTCAAAAAGTCACGTGATTGGATTGTCTAATCGAGTTGTTGCGATTAAAGTTTCCCGGTGGTGTCATAGAGATCAGAATTGGCCAACATGTGATTTCTTTCTTTGCTAGTAGTCCAACAATTCCAGAGCTTAAGAACGAAATTTAATGCATTATTAGCGAAATTAAACTGTATAATTAGCGTGAAAATGAAATTAATGGTTATTTAACGAAAAGTGTATTAATATGGGCGATTAACAATCGAGATAATTTAACGAGTGAGCGCGTTAATGTTCGATATGTTAATCGCCATTTTAATTCACGAGTTCGTTACAGAACTTTTCCGTCGAAATAATTCTTACTTTCAATGTTTAATTATTCGTCAATATCCATCTTTTGATTTTAAATTATACATAGAGTTTTTAAATTTTAAGAAATTAAATAATGACATACAATGACAGTATTAACCATAGATTACTAATGTGAATAGATGGGAAACTCAATGGTAAAATTCTGAGTCGATGTGCTGCCATCTATCAAATTGGAGTGGTACTAAAATTCAATATGGCTGTCACGAGCGGGCTTTTTGAAATTTAACTTTGTAGTAGCGCAAAAATGTAATGAAGAAAATCAAATAAAGCAAAAAAATTGGAAAAATATTTGACTAGTTTCAAATCATAAAACAACCATATTGACTGTTTTGTGATTTGAAACTAGTCAAATATTTTGCCAATTTATATCTTTGATTTTATTTCATTATATTTTTGCATTAATTTCAAACTTGAAATAAAATGCAATTTATTTATTTTTTTTTTATTACTGTAAATTAACGCCGCATCATACAATTTGTCTATTTAAACATGGAAATACTCAAACAAATATGCATTTACATCATTTAAATAATTAAATATTTATAAAACAAACCTATCAAAAATGTTTTCTGTAACAAAATCAGCATATATAAGTGCTCAAGACCTTTATAAAAGTTTTGCGACAAATAAGTTTGAAAAAATTGAAGTTGAAGCATCATCATTTTTACTATCGAGGCAAATTTCAGTGTGGATAAAATTTGCCATACGGTTATTGAGTCAACTAGTTAGGTTGAGGAGCATTTCTTCATTCGATAATTATTTTCTTAATTCATTTATACAGCACTTGTAGTTATCAAATTTTTATTCATCATGTGGGCACTGTGATAAATGAATTTAACTTTTGAGCATAAATTAAACTTACACACGTTTGGACCCTTGAAGATTTTAGGCTGTTTTCTTGTTTGATGTCAATGGCATTGAAACCATTTTTGATATTGATGGCTGAGGCTCAAATATTTCATCGATCGACAGGGTATTTTGGAGGGCCAACATTTTCTTTACAACAATGATCATTTAAAAACTGAAAACAAAAAGAAATTTAAATAACAAACCAATTATTTTAACACTGAAACAAAAACAAGTTTGTAAATATTACTTACCGTGATTTCAGTGATAGTGCATTTTTCTTGAGAAACTTATTACAAATTATTTGGTTATCCTTAATATGACGATTGCATATTTAATGTGGTATAAATTGCATCCCTACCAATATCTGGGAGTGCTTTATTGTGTGCAATAGCCATTTTAATTAGTTTGAAGTTTGGACGAGCTGACAATTGACATGACATTTCGATACGAGCGCCATCCCGTTAATTGGAGTGGTACTAAATTACCTTCCTCATGTTTTTCCATTTGAGTTACCAGCCCCTGGTATTAACAAACCTTCTTGGCTTCAAATGTATATGTATGTTTGGTTGCCTACATCATAGGTAATTGTCAATATAAATGTATAATAAGAGGTACGTTGGGTTGCATAAAATAAAATCATTGATTAATAGAAAATCATTCATTAATAGGGGTCATTTATCAACTATTTTTAGTGCCTTAAAATACATCATAAATGGTCGGTCAATGGAAAGTTTCTTAAAAAGACCGCCAGTAAGTCAATTAAGAAGAAGCGGCCATTTGTCGGACATTATTTTCCACGTTTGATTGCAGATCATAAATTTTATATTAAAACTAGCTGTTGCACGCGTGGAGTAAGTGGCGTAGCCAGACATTATTCATGGGTGAGGTTTCTGAGAACTATGGGGGGAGGGTTCCATTAACAAAGTGAAATATTACAGATAAGATTGTTTTTATTAAAAAAAAGTAAATAAATAATTTTTTATAAAACGAAAAAAAAGTGAAAACAAACAATTAATAGCAATCAGCGCTAATACGATGGCGAAAACGCTGACGCGAAGGGCCTCAATCCTCTCCCCTTCCACCGTCGCTACGCCACTGCGTGGAGGGGTTTCTAATAAAAAAGTGCATGACTGCCCAAAAAAAGGAGCGATAAATGTTATTTATTTTTATTCGTTTTTATTATATAGATATAATATTATATAGATTATATAGATATAAATAACACGTACTTTAAAATAAATTATTTATTTTATTTAAAAATTAACTCGTTCGGAATTGTTGGGACACCCTTTATATTTTACTAATCCAGTAAATTTTTAAACTAATTGACAAACAGGGGCGTGCCGAGTTTCTTGGGAGCCCACTCGCAAGATTTTTCTTGAGGCCCCCGCAGACTAGAAAATAGGTAAACAAAAAATCATAAACCATAACATAAATATGACTCGTTGGATTAAAAATTAAATGATTTTACGTTAAATTATGTTATAAAATTTTGTGTTAAATTATTATCATTTAATTTGGGGACCTCCGAATAGCCCGGGCCCTCCACCAACGTGGGTCCTGCGGGCCCGTCAGGCACACCTCTGCGACAATTTAATTTATAAAGAAATACAACTTTAAGAGTTCACTTTTCTAATAGTGGATTTTATTTGTTGCACTAGGTGTAAGTGTTCTGCACTAATCGCATTTGATTTGTTCAGTGTAGCTTCGAATATTTGAGTGTAGCATATACGTTTGACAAGTATGACAGTTCGAATACAGTGCGAGTGTGACACTAGTGCAACAAATAAAATCCAATTTTAGTAACAAATAAAAGTGTATACCAAATATTAGCTCTCCTTCAGTGTTACATCGTCTGCATTCAAAGGTTTTTGTGAGTCCCACAAAACTAAAATCATACATAGGTAAAACACTTTTTGATCTTAGAACAAATTTCTGAAGATTTTTCAACTGCACAACTAATCTTTCATAATTTATTCTATATAAAGATTCATGGTCATCTTGTATCTAAAAAATCATAAAATTAGAACATGAACTAATTCAAAATTCAACTTTTTTAAACTTTCATCTAAACATAATCCTTCTAAGAGATTAATAAAAATAACATACCCATAGTTCAACAAGATGTTTAAGCTTACAGAAAAATAATCTTAAACCTGTCGCAATTTCTCGATGATCTTCTTTTTTGAGCAATATTTTTAAGTATAAATGTTTAAGCAACTTTAAATTTTCACTTGCCATTACTGTTTCATACTCGAAATGGTCATCTTCTACGGAAACTGCTAATTTTTTCAGCTAATAAAAACAAATAAATTAGATTCTTGTTGTAAAAACTAGAAACATTCAGATAGAATAATATACAGATATGTTCTGCCTAATACGAACATACAAAATACAAGTCGAGTTTGCTTTTATCTCCTTAGCACACCAAAAATACAGGGTGTTTCAAAATTACCATACATGGCGTTCTTTGAAGCGGTGTTCCTGGAAAACTAGCAATCTTATTAAAGTGAATCAAGAGTACCTTTTTGTCGTAAACAAGATTGAATTTTATAAGTTTAGTCTCAAAAATAATAAAATGTAGAGGATAAAAACTTTTTATTAGTTTTTACACCCTAAGTTGCAACATCCCAGTTAAAATGATAACCTTTTTGAACTAGTCACATTCAGAATATAAATTTTAAGAGAAATCCAAAATTGAAAGTATTTAACGGTACCAGTTTCGAAAATATCGTCAGAAAACAAACTTCAGAGGGTTCTCTTCAAAGGGGCGTTGCTCTCTTATAAGGCATGTTTGGATAAGTTTGTAGGAACTTTCTGCCATATTTTCACCTTTATAATACGCTATTAAAATATTTACCTTTAATTTTGGAACACCCTGTACAAAGGATGGTGAAAACACTGCATTAAAGTACTCATGAGTACTTCACAATAAGTAGTTTCATAAAGTACTCAAACCTATTTGAGTATGAGTATTTATATTCATAATACTCAAAGCAAATGAATGCTTTTGAAAAAATCGTGAAAAAACGAATAACTAGTAGGAGTATTTTAAATAAGTCTAATCAGTAACTCAAAGTTAGAAAGAAGAAATTATAGTTATTAGTAATAGTAAGTCAGTAAATTACAAACAAAAACGAGAGTATCACTTATTTTCTAGCATTTAGTTAGTATTTACCAGTGGCGTGCGGGGGAGTAATTTATGCGCATTTTTTAGAGGTTCTATCAAAAATAAATAAATACATAATAGATATATGTATAATAACCATATATATTTAAATAAAAACTCACAAAATATATTTCCAAAAAAACTAAATTTTTAATAAAAAGAAAGTATTGAAATAATAAAAAAAAACAGCTAATTTAATATAAATTATTGCTACGTAAATTAAAGAAAACATAACTAGTAACATATTAGCAAAGAAACTCCATTCTTTTTGTGTTTTATGTGTATCATGGTTGTCTCATGTTCCATAGGCATGTGCACCACTTTTATCTAGTGCCCACGTATTTAAGAGTGTTAACACCAACTACCAAGAAATATAACATAATTACCTACATAATATCTAAAATGTATTTTGACTACCCAAATAAATTTTAATAAACAACATTATTTTGTTTGACTTTTTATTTATAATGTGAATCTGAACCTAACACAAACCCAGAAGGGTAATTACCTCTCATTACCTCCCCTTGTATACGCCACTGGGTATATTCCCAACTTTTGTATTTTAATACAAATTAAAGTGAAATAAGGTACCATTTGGCAACGCGAGACAAAGCGACGCGAAACCGAGGCAGAAGTACGGCGGCAAATATTGCCATACTAAATCTGATGTCGTCGGTCGCTTCTACCGAAATGTGTTTCATATAATTACATGTGTTCAGACGTGAAGAGCAGTGATCTGTGGTGAAGAGACCGTTTAGTGTCTCTCTTGCTGTCGCGGCTCGCTTTGAAGTCGGTATCTGCCTCGCCTTGCGAAATGGTAGCTATATAAGGTTATTAAGTAGAGGTACAGGTAAATATTGCTCAAAAGTACAGTTATATATTTTAAAACTGTATATACACCAGTGGTGTAACACTACCAAAAAGAATTATAAAATTTAACTAAGAAAAATTATCGAAATATTGTAGCTTTTAGTAAATAACAACACAATACACAATAAAAAAACAAACAACATTATTTTCTTATGGTAGGGACAGAAGTTGGAAAGGCTTTTGGTAGGTAGACAGGTGGTAAATGTCAAATGGAGAATTTCGCGGTAATGTTTGTTCGCCAAAGTCGTCTTATAGAATTAAAATATTACCAGAAATTTTAAATTATTACCGGCGGTATTGGGCAAACGTATCTATTTATGGGTTACAAATAATTATTTAAATAAGTAATAATATCCCAAATCATAATTATACAAAATTTCAACAGCTATTCACAATTTGTTAAACTATTTACGTGAAATTTTAATTAACATGTATAAAATAATTTTCTACGCGTTCACTTCGGTTGGCTCCGCGTCAAAACCGTCAAATCCTGGGTATGAAATGGGAGAACTGGCAAAAGCTTTTCCAACTTCTGTCCCGGATATACCTATCCTATCAATCAGTAAATCACTTGGTTATTAGGTGATTGATAGATATAGGTAGGTAACAAATACGATCACAACAAGTAGCTAATAGTATATTCAGTAACAAGGTTATAATGAAAATTCGAAACGAGTGGAGACGCGAGCATAAGTACTCAGTAATTGGTACTCGTGAGTACTTTCATCCTGATGATACTCAATACTCGAAAAATTTCGAGTACTTTTCAATTTAGGGTACTCAGTACTTCTCATTCCTACAGCTGACGAGTAACGAGTACGAATACCGACGCGCGCACAGGCCCAGGCAAGTTTTGTGTCTTACTCACTGAACTGCATTGCTTGCTATTATTATTTTACGTTTTGTTTTTATGTATCCAAGTACGCCATTGCCTTCGTCCACACCAGTTGAAGGGCTCTTCTCGTATATAACGATAATAATGCCCTGAGTGACACGAATTTTAAAAAGTTCTGTTGAAGAAATACTTTTAGCTATTTTTTGTTACCTACCTATACCTATCAGTCACTTAAATAACAACCTCATGAATACTTTAATCGGTACTCTGTTCAGCTGACTGTCAGTCATGAAATTCATGACTATCTACTAATTTTAAACTGTCATTTGAGGCGTTAGCGTTAATCCTAAAAATCACATGGATTGATTGTGGCACGCGTTGATACATCAAAACCCGGCTTTTCGTGAAAATCCTAGACAATAAATTTTAATTATCTGGTGTTTTATATTTTAATGGTTATCTTAAAAGTATTTACATCATTATTTTATGCATATGTCAAAATTAAAAGTTTTTCAAGTTATTTACAATAATGGCGAAATTAATAATTTGTTAATAATAAGATGTGGCTTGATAAGTGAACCACAAAATTAGACATGAGCTAGACTAGGTCACAGAGGTTGGAAAAATAATTATTCATTAATTTTCAATTTTCTCGAAATTAGAAGATAAGTAAAACTTAAAGTGGGTGTCAGATGGTTCACAAACCAATGAGGAATATCAGTTTCAAATAAAAAATAAATACATATTATGTACATTAAATTTTTCAATTAAATTATTTTCCACGAAAAGCCACTTAAGTGGTTTTGCCTGAAATAAAGGCATTTGAGTATGGAATCTTAAATTTTAATAGATAAAATTTGAAAGGACGATAGGTATTTAAAAAGATTATTTTTTGAATCATTTTATATGAAAAAATCACAATAAACATATTTGGAAGTGTTTTTTTTTAAATATTTGTTTATTTATATTCTGTACGGACGGAATGGTCAGGCATCGCCTGTGAAGTTACTTGCCTTTCACGAGTTTGACATTTGCAAACTTTAAAAGTTTTGTAATTTCCATGTCTTATACTATAAAATTGAATAAGATTCTGTTTAATTTAGAACTGTTCAAGTATTCAACAATGATGTTAAATTTTCAAAAGTTGAGTATAAGTAAGTTGATTTTAGGGTATTATTTAACATAAATATACAGAGGTTAGTTTATATTATAAATATTACCGATTTATTTTTGTGCAGTAAACTTGAAAATCATTTTGAAATTTGGGTATTACCATAGATTTGAAATACATTTTACTTTAATAAAAGTTTCTAGATTGTGTTTATAGTTGTCAGTTCGAATGATAAACACAGTTTTATCTAAAAACAAAAACGAAGAAAGGGTTTAATGAGTATAAAACTTAATGATTGGTTAGGATCGCGAGCGCTTATTGGCTGAAATCACAAAATTTTACTATTTTGACAGATGAAAAAATACCCAACGGTAATATACCAAGACTTTGATAAATAGTCAGCTATTTTTGTTGCATCTAAATCTCGAGAATATTTTAACATTAATTTGATAAGACATAATTTTGACTATAATCAATTGATTATTAATGCCAAAATTATGTAGAGATTGATACTTGGTCAAGTGAAATAGCCAATAAAATTTGTCGTTCTCCCTCTCTTGTTAACTATATGTTATGTAAATTTACATGTATGTAGCATTCTACAAGAACATGAATAAAACTTAATTATTGAATACATTACAATTAATAAACTAAACTTCAATAAGCTTACTTTAAAATATTCTACAACATCTTTGCTCCTAAATCCTAATTTCGTATCTACTGCGTGCAGTTCTTCTAGTGCAGGAAGTTTTGTAAGAAGTTTTCTTAAATCGTGTGCCGGTATCCAATAAATTCCATTTATTTTCAAAATTTTAATGCAATTTGGATTCATTTTCATAGATATAAATTTGCACAAATTCATATTATGAATTTCGAATCTTTTTGACCAATCTGTATAGCTAAAAGAATTTTTTAAATTAGCTGCAGATTATTATTATTGAATTTTTTGAAAAAATATTAGTTTTAAAAATATCTAGTTCTTTGGTCGGTAATATTTGATGAGATGTTCTTTCTTTGTTGCTTGTAGTTTGGTCAAGATATATGCCACATTAATGTGACGTCACTGAGCCAAACAAAAACAAACCAATTTTGTCATTGATTTTGACATAAATGTTTCGAGTTTTTTAACCCTTAACTGGTATGGTGATTTAAAATAACAGTAACGGTTTGGTAGGGTCACATTTGACCTACCCATTTTTTATAATAAAAATTGAAAAAGGATCACATAGGTATGCAATTATTTTAAACTTATTTATACTTGACGAGTATGTAAGGAAATATTACAATAATTTAGTTTTACGTATGACTGATATAGGGTGAAACACAAATGACCAGAAACATTTTTAATTTCTCAAAACATTTAAAACAAAAAAAGTTTGGTTGAACAAATATTATTTATTAATTATAAACCCTTTATTAATCTAAAAAAACGTTAAAGCAACTTGAAACTATGCTCTGTAAAAATACTAACAAATATGTTTATAGCACAATATTCAGTTTGAACAACTAATACACACATTTGAAGTTATACAATGGTTTTTACAAACATGTTTGAGACAATTGTCACAAATTGTAGAATTTTTCGTCATGTTGTAAAAACAAATAATATCTGGTAGCTTTTTTATTTCTTCTTCTACCATATCATTATGATGCATTGATAAAATCAAGCAAACAGCTCGGCCATTTTCATTAAATTTCTTGTTTTACCAGATCACATGGGATTGGGATACGGGTATCGTTGAAGTAGGGATGCCACCTGTATGGGTTTCACCCGGACTGTACGGGTCTTGAACAATTTGTCCGGTGTCCAGTAGCATGATGAAAATGTCCCGGAATATCTGGATAACTTTTTTAGAAGCTCAACAGAATGACCTGGTTTATAAAATAATAAGCTGATGACTTTTTTTTAGAAATTTTACAAAGGTCCGAGTTTGAGAAATGAAAAGGTGGCATCCCTATTGAGGACTCTTTAGTTATTGCAATGGTATCTTGAAAATAATAGAGATAAAATGTAAATTTTCACCTAACCCTTTCGCTGCTCATTAACGTCATGATAGTTCTTTCCCCCATGCCCATGACGTTTTGTAACGTCATTTAAAGATGTATGCGTCGATGAATGTAAACAAGCCGCTATGCAGTGAATTGTCTTAATAACCCCGTAGGCATGTGAAAACGTTCTTAAATTAGTGCATTATGAATTTGGTTTTGATATTATGTTTGTGAATTTAACATAGCAAGGCTTTAACAGGTTCTAATTAAATGATATACCTAATTGCTCGATATTTCAATTTGTGGCATAGACACGCAGACAAGTCTTTAATAAAAGTTATATGAATTTGAAAAACACAATACAAAAATATTTTTGGATATACAGTGTGTTACGCTTTTGCTTAGAAAGTAAAAATATATATTTGTTTAATGGAACACTGTATTTTATCTCAGTTTTAGAATTCTTAGGGAATACTGTATTAAACCCTAGAATATTTTTGAAAAGTATTATAGGGTCGCCAAGCAATTAATTTTGTGATATAAAATGATGCAGACTCCAAATAAAATTATCAGAATTTAAGTAGCTTATCAATGACTTGAACATTATTTAAAATACAGGCTTATAAGATACCAATCTAACGAATAGACATGATAGAACTAGTTTATTTTATACAGAGGATTTTGAAACATCTCATAAATATGGCTCATTTTAACTCTTAATTTTACCCAATTTGAATGCAACACCCTGTATATCATTTTATCATTAAATTTATTAGAAAAATGTGAAAAAATTATGTCAATTTTCATGGTAAAACCGTCAAAATTTGAGAAAAAATTCGTTTGAGAATAGAATGCCAAACAAAATAAAAAAAGTAAAGAAATTAATTTATAAATTGGTGGTATAATTAACACACAGGATATATTTCAAAAAATTGAGGACATTGTATCCTCATGTTTAGACACATCCTGTAGGCATCACAACATATAAATGAAAACATTTTTAGGAACCTTTATTCTATTAAAATTATAAAACGATGTGAAAACAATCAAATCTGTAAGGCGTAACTACCTACAGGGTGTTTGGTTTTCTCCTCATTTATAGACTACCATGTATATTTAAGAATAATTGTAAATCATGGTCTTACATTTCTTCATATCTCCAATAATAAAATATCTATCGATCAATTACCCACTGATGGGCCACTCTGTATATGTATAATTAAAACACCGTATAAAATGAACCAATTCTTGGTCCTTATAAGTTGAAAAATATTCTAGTGATAAATACAGTATTACTATACCACTCTAAAACTGAAATAAAATACAGTGTTCCATTTAAAAACATGTTTTTACTTTCCAGGCAAAAGCGCAACACCCTGTATAACCAAAAATGTTTTTAAATTATATTTTTTCAAATCCACATAACTTTTATTCAAAACATGTGTCTAAAATACAAATTGAAATATCAAGTAATTATGCACTAATGGGGCAACCTGTATAGAGCTACGACGAGAGTTTAGTCTTTTTTAATCCTTTCAGACTTTCGTTTAAACGACTCGATTGTTTTTGACTTCCCGGCTTGAATGGCCCAGCCTTCCCTACAAGATTTTGACATGGTGGCTGCAGCTTCTTCGGCTAATTGTACCACCATTTGGATACCCTACTTCTTTCGATTTAATAATTCCTCATTTATTCCACTCCCTAGATAGGCTTCCGAGAACTTATGTCTCGGGTCAACCATTCATGAAGTGCTTGACTACCTTGATCGATAAATGAATTTATAGGTACACCGTCAGCCAGCGGCCCTGGCACATACTTTGGAATGTCATTTCATGCAAGTTTTCATGTTCTTTTATTCGCTCCGTGCGAAGTCATGGAAAGGGAAGCAAAAGCGATACTAGCGCTAGCTGCGGATAATTCGTGCATTTTAGGGGGATATTTTGTAATTTTGGCATATCAAATACACGTATACATTTTACTTTTTTTCAAAAAAGTAGGTAAAAACAACACAATAAGCAACCGGAGTTGCTGTGTTGAAAATTGTACAAATACTAGCAAAAAAAAAGCAGTGAAACTTATATAACAAATTTCACTAACAAAGTGGAAATTAAATCAAAGAAATAAATGGATAGGTGTACAATAAGAAGAAAAATTACCTTTATTTTTGTGATAATAACAGTAATGCTGGAAATAGTAGACATCAGAAACTAGAAAGTTTTTAAATAAACAATAAATTATCATTTTACGATGTTCTTTAATATCCCTTTATTCTTAAATGTTCATTCAGCAAGGACTAGATTTCAAGATTTCTGCCGTTGATTATAATATTTGGCTGGTATGCAATTTTGTGACTTACTGACGGAAACCAGTTTTAATCATTCATTCTATGTTTTCTTTAGAACAAAAATGAAAATATAAGTAGCGATCCTTTTTATACATTTTAACTTCACGCTATTATAAATGGTTTCTTCAATGACAACTTATTAGACTTAGGCAACTTCTCATACATTTTCCAGTAAATACTGTTGCCTGCCTATATTTTATTATTGATTTTTAATGATTATACATAATTTTCTTCAATTTAAGCGTGAAAAATATATAATAATAATAAATTAATGTTTTAATTGTTTTATAAATCCATATACTTTTATTAAAACTAACATATATACTTTTTATTTACGAATTCTATTAAAAATTGTATTTGTCAGTATAGGCAGAAATACTCCTTTAATACCAAAACAAATTGGCGCTGCTGTCGCGCACGGAGCGAATAGGGAAAAATTTGATATTCGTTCATTATTTTTTGAGTTTTAAGAAATGAATCATGAATAAAATGCGAGAGATACCGGTGATAATCCCTATAAAAGAAAATAAAAACTTGCGTGAAATGACATTCCGGTGACAATCTCCGGCGAGTCGTCAGCTTTTTGGGCTTTCGCCGGCGGATCGCCAGCGAATCGCTGGCGATACGCCGAAATGAATCTCTGGCTATACGCCGAAATGAATCTCTGGCGAGTCGCTGGCGATCGACTATGCATACGGCTGATAAAGGTCTATATTCTTTTCTCTTTTGGTGTTAACTTGTGTCCGTATTTATAATCACCCTGTATATACAGGGTGTTTCAAAAAGGTATGTCATAAATTCTTCCTCAGATAGATTACCAAAAAAATAGGTGGATTTGGCTATATTTACCTATATCAAAAACTGGCTCCTAACAAAGTTACAGGGTGTTAAACTAACATTCAAAAAAACGTTTTTTTTTGTAAAAAGTTTGCTGTTGCGATTTTTTCTTTGAATTGTTTGCCAGTGCTGTAGAGTTGAAGGCCCAATATTAAAAAAATTAAAGCGACCCCCTTAAAAAAAGTTAGGGGTTGGGTACCATTTAACCCCCCCGTATTTTTTTTGACATAAAGAAACTTGCTTTATCGATCTTAAAATCAATAAGAACTATGAATTTTTATTTTTTTTTATGAAATGAACTTTGTATCTTTCTTAGTTAACGAGCTATTTACAATTTTTTAACTGAATTTCTAGAGCAATTCGTCCATCCTGGACTTAACATATCAACAAAACTAAGAATAGGTCAGGGGTTATTGTACTAAAAACGGATATAAAAATCAGTGGTATGCCTAGGACTGTGATTGAGCCGCCCGTGCAAAAACTACCTCTTTTATTTATATTTTGTTAAAAAAGGTATTTATAATATTGGATTGGCACCCGTCCTCATGGGTTCACCATGCCACTAATAAAAATATATGTTAGTTTGGAAATGTAGTTTTCCTACGACCACTTAGGAAAGTGACACATATCACACTATATAGTCCTATGGAAAGTGCCCTTTATCACACGCGTATGAATAAGAATTTACTTTCCGCCCGTGTACGAATATACTACTTTCCGCAGTAGCTGTCACAAAATGTCAAACACATAATTTCTATTTTGATCTATGTAATGTCCATATTAATACTAAAATCGATATGATTGTTAAATTATTGAAATTGTTGTAAATTAGATCCTAGATATTTATCTTTAACAATTATTATTAAAATAATTTTAAATTAATTCTGATGCCTTGGTAGGATTCCCCACTCGACCATTCACTGTTGGGTTATAATTAACAGTGCTGTTCCTAAAGTGGTGCTGGGAAACAGTAACAATGCCTACACAGAACACGAGGCTAATGACCTTAGCAGCCAATGCCGATGAGACCAAATAAAAAAAAATAACTAAGATAGGTTTGCTCTTTATTCTGGTTAAATATATAACCGATTAGATCATTCAATTGAGGTAAGGGCTATTAGCTCAGATGGTTAGAACGTCGAAATTATTAACGTTGCCATTTGAGACCTGGCGAGTGACCGCTTTCAAATCCTGGCGGGACCAGAATTAGTTTTTTTTTTATTTTTTTTTTTTTAGTTTAGAAAATATGAAAATTGAATAAATACGATTATTGTTAATAATTTTATTTTAAAAGTTTAAAAAATGCCTTCAACCGTTATGCCGAGGCGTTGAAAGTGACACCTGGTGACACTTTGTTTAGCTCATTGTTTACGTTATTATCATATAACAGGTTCTTCAGAGAAGTACAGCCATTCAAACCTTTGATTAAAAAAAAACACTATAAGAAAAATAAATAATGTGGATAATGTTGCATGAGTTGGTCATAATGAGAGTTTTAAAAATCCAAAACCATAGAATTATGTTTATTAAAGATTAGATAACATTGCTTTTCAATTTCACTGTGTCCCAATATCTTGGTAATCTAAACTTAATTAGTACAGGATATGCATTGGTATACCACAAGCGCCCAAGAAATCACGATTCCTCCATAATTTAGAACAAATATTATAAAAGAGCTTCTAGAAGTTTATTTTTATCAAATGTTTATTATAAGACGAAATAACTTCTCTTAAAAGCAATGTTAAAGAAGATATTAATGTAAAAATTTGAAAATTGTGAATATTCTCTTTTTATTTTTTTAGATATGTTGTAGTTTTCTTGGAAAAATTTTGTAAAAACTCTTGTTGGATTCGTCTACTTTGAAACATCCAAAGAGTCTTAACATATATATCAATTGTTATTAAAAACACATAACATACAATAGCTTTGTTTGTCAAAGTCTTTTTTGTGTTCTTAATTTATAGGAGATGTAACAATAATTTATTATGTACACTTGTTAGTGCCGAATGACAAATGACAGAAGACATGGATGGAGGAATTTATGATTTCTTGGGCGCTAGTCGCTTGTTGGTAAACCTACTTATAAAACAAAATCATGTTTACCATTTTATTTATTTATCAGCAGGTGGTAACATCCAAAATATAGAGGGTGATTCATAACTATTGGGCCATAGACTAAGGGCAGGTTATTCTGACCAAAATAAGGGGATAGGGCCAAATATACCTTAATAAAATATTGCTGTGGAATAAAATACAGGGCGTTAAATAATAATATTAATAATAATAATAATAGACTATAATCTCACAGCAAAAATAATTCCCTTACAAGAAATAACATATTATGTACCAGACACAATTATCTGACACACTTGTAATGAAATAATATTTTTTTAAATCCCCATCTGAGACTTGTGAACTGTTCAATTGTTTTTCTTGAAAATAGGTGGAATTATCGTTTTTAAACAATAGTACCAATATTAAGTAGAAATGATGTTTACATTATTTGGCATAATAATATATGTGTCTTGTGAATTACCACTACTGTGGATAAGGAATTTTGAAGTTCTAAATAACACCTAATAATCTTAAATAATGTTCATGTATTTGAAAATAATGTCCTGGTTCTATACAAACATATTTCCCCTAGACAGACCAGCTTACTAACTCCCAGTCCAAAAGCTCAAATTCTTACTTGGTCCAACTTTGATAATCTAAAATCAACAAATATGACTGCCCTTTCCCTACTAACCAACAAATATGACTGCCCTTAGTGCCCACCCCTTACAAGTATTTTCTGAGCATCTGAACACAAAGAAAATAAGATTGGTATTGGGAAATTTACCAAACCTGAGCAGACATTCTAACGGGTGCTAAAGATAGTTCAACATTCTTTGATTTTTTACATAATGGTACCTACTTGTACAATGTATTATCATTATCATTTCTGAACCCCAGAGAATGGTATAAAAAACCAATGCTATTAACACAGCTATTGAATAGACAAATGTAGCATACTTAACTTGCTATCCCAGTACCGGTGTAACCATGCCTCAATTAATGGCAGGCAGGTAAATGAGTCGAGAGCTACTCTCTTTATTTCTCTAATGTCTAAATATAATTATGCATCTCATCTTTATTTTGTAGGGTGGGCTGGTTAACATTTGTATAAGAGCGGTATTATTTAAACCAATATCACAGCTTCCAATATGCTATTTCTGGTTTATTTTAAAATTATTAAAATAGGATAAGTAACGTAAACGAGCTTACATACCTTATTACATCTTTATCTCTTAAAAAATAATCTAGGTCTTTGAACACTTCACAAAATTGTAATAAATCATAGATATTCAGAAAGCGCAATATTCGTATTAAAATTTCATTGGGAAGTTGTTCCATTTCTTTGGTAAATAAATAGGTACGGTACTAGCGATAATGCTGAAACCAGATGTCCTAAAAATAGAATTGTTTTTTCAAGGAACTTTTATATAAAAGTAAAGCATTATATCTATATATCATTCTAAAAATTGCAGATTAAACATTTTCATTATAATAAAATATACATACAATTAACCATGGCAATTAACAAGAAACCATAAAGCAAAATATTATGTACTGTACACTATACTTGTTTGAAAAATTAATTAAATTGAGGTTATGTGTTATGTTATTGTTCTGTTTAATGTTCTCGATTGTGTCTCGATCAAAGAGGTTTCGATCATAAACTCGATTCACTCGATTCTTTTTTCACCTTTCTCTTAGAACAGGAGTCGATTAATACTATAGATACAGGGTGGTATTTTGAGCCCTATTGTCGAAAATACATACAAGTACATACATACATATGCCGCGTTTGAGAATCCACATCGGATGCATTTTTTACATCTCGAGCGTTTTTTTATCCACATCGGACACATCTACTACATCTACATCTGCGTTTGTTTATCCCAGATGTACCTGTTCAGATTACATTTTTTACATCTCGATTTGAAATGAGATGTGAATCAGATGTTCGTTCCATGCCAGAAAGTAAGTGTTCTGTGAAGCCTTTTTTGTCAATTTATCCTTTGTTTATGCTAGCATGAATATAAAAGTGATTAGTTTGTTTAATTTTTGTTAATATTTCAAATTTAGGTTGATTTGTAATCTCAAAAGTCAAATTTAATAAGTATAAACTTCTAACTTGTCATTGACATTTTATCACGTGACCAAATAAAGTCTAGAGCGTTTGTTTATTACATCTACATTCAGATCTAATTCTCTATCACGTGATAAAAAATTCACAACATCTCAGATGCATCCGATGTGGATTCTCAAACGCGGCACTAGTTAATACTTATAAATATAAAATAATCAACCAAATCCAATAGCGTAACAAGACAACGCGGGACCCTGGTTCCAAATCTTAAATACGGGCCCCTCCGCTCTCTATAACCAGAACATAATATTTTTGATTTATTAAGGCTGTATGTCACGATACTAAATTAAGTACTAAATTTAGAACTAAATTAATGCATTTTTTAAGTACTAAAAAAATTCACGTTGCAAACAGCAAATTTAGTACTAAATTTAGTACTAAAAAAAGTCATTAATTAATTAGATCTTGTTCTATTTTCTACTAAATTTAGTACTAAAAGTGCGCCGAAATGTTGCGCAGAAGTTTTTCATAGAAAAAGTTGACACGACGGTATTTTCTGTACCCTTCTATTTTTAATTAGCGACAATTTTACATTATCGCCTTGAATAAAGTTCGCTTGTTTGATTTTGTAGGTTTTATTGTTTTTTTCGTGGTTATTATGCTGTATTTGGTTGTTGTCAAGTCAACTAGTGTCAAATTGATAATAAAAACACCATTTACTTCACTTGTCTGTTTCACACAGAATATTTCATTTCTCTGCTAATTTCACGTATTAATAGGTCAATGCGCGTGCGCCTATAGTAAATTTAGTACTAAAAATTGGTATCGTTGCAAACGGAAAAAAAATATTTTTAGTTCTAAATTTAGTACTAAATTAATAACTTAATTTAGTGCTAAATTAAGTACTAAATTTAGAACTAAATTAATGCATTTTTTAAGTACTAAAAAAATTTACGTTGCAAACAGCAAATTTAGTACTAAATTTAGTACTAAAAAAAGTCATTAATTAATTAGAACTTGTTCTATTTTCTACTAAATTTAGTACTAAAAGTGCGTCGAAATGTTGCGCAGAAGTTTTTCACAGAAAAAATTGACACGACGGTATTTTCTGTACCATTGTTTTTAATTAGCGAAAATTTTGCATTATCGACTTGAATAAAGTTCGCTTGTTTGATTTTGTAGATTTTATTGTTTTTTTCGTGGTTTATAGTAGCATTGCTGTATTTGGTTGTTGTCATGTCAAATTGATAATAAAAACACCATTTACTTCACTTGTCTATTTTACCAGGAATATTTCATTTCTCCGCTTATTTCACGTATATTAATACGTCAATGCGCGTGCGCCTATAGTTAATTTAGTACTAAAAATTGGTATCGTTGCAAACGGAAAAAAATATTTTTAGTTCTAAATTTAGTACTAAATTAATGACTTAATTTAGTGCTAAGTTTAGTACTTAATTTAGTATCGTGACATACAGCCTTTATGTAGAATTAATTATAGATCGAGCGAATTTCTGTTCATTTAAGGATTATTTAACGAACAAGTGTATTAATAAGGGCGATTAACAATCGAGATAATTTAACGCGCGAGCAGAGCGATTGTCAATCGCCATTTTAATTCAGGAGTTCATTACAGAACTTTTCCGTCGACTGTACTTTTAAAAAATAAAGATATCTTATTTTCAATTATTATTTATTTAACGAAAAACAACAATTACTATTTTCTATTTATATTAATTAATTTTATTCACAGTTAGTTCAATTTTCCTCAGTGGTAATTTTATTATTGTAAATATTAGTATTAGAAATTGTGCAAAGCCGTCAATATCCATCTTTTGATTTTAAACTATACATAGAGTTTTTGAAAATTAAATACCAGCCCTGATAATGACATACTAAATGCCACGTTTGAGAATCCACATCGGATGCATCTGAGATGTAAAAAATCTTTGATCACGTGATTCAGTATACGTAAATGTAATGGGACAGATTTGTCCGATGTGGATAAAAAAACGCTCGAGATGTAAAAAATGCATCCGATGTGGATTCTCAAACGCGGCAAAATGACAGATATTAACACACCTTCTTGATTTCAAATGTACATGTATGTTTGGTTGCCTACATCATAGGCAACTGTCAATATAAATGTATAATAAGAGCGATGTACAATATACCACAAATTTTATGTGGGATTTGGTGGCTATAGATGCTATAAAAATAGTCTTTTCGCTTTTCTTTGTTATTATAGTGTTATTGTCATCGAGAAATGTGATACTGGAAAATATATATTTTTTTGGATAATAGTCTATTTCCCCGAATTTTAAAATGCTTTTTTTCATGATGTAAATATAATAAATTATATAGAACGAGCCATTATTTGCACACAGTACCTACCTATGTCTAACCGTCCAAATAATAGGTACGTGTGGTCGTGGTACGTCGTCTGTATAATTATACAGATATCACTCACAACTCACAATGTAATAATTTCTTATAATTTTAGTTGAATAATAATCCATAATCATACACCGTACTTGACTAATAACTGATAATACATTAATGCTGTAAAATTTATAGTAGACATATTTATACTGTTACTGTAAATTATTGAGCTGTCATATTTTATATATTCGTGATATTATTATCTGTTGAATACAACTTTTGATATCGGTTCTATGCATAATCACATGATTTAATGCACTCAGCCTGTTGTCAAATTAATTTCTCTCATTATATTGATAATTGGTAACCCTATGACTAAACAGCAGTTATCACTTTTTGTGACTTTTTAGTAGTATTTTAAAAAATGATTTGCATCTCCGGAAGAACAATGACGCAAGTGAAAATTAACGATTTCCACAAAAAAGTTTATCAGTTAGAGTATGAGGTAGAGTGCTTTTACTTGAATCATGGTAACTAATGTTGTAATATGTTCCTATTTCACGCAATGTGGTTAGGAATAGTGTTAATAAAAATGAAGCGATAGCTTTTACTTTAAAAATTGGAAGCAAAGCTATTTTTCAATGAATAAAATTTATGAATTAGTTTTCAACAATACTCGTATCCCACGTGTATCTAGTAAAACACAAATTTAATGAAAAGGACCATTCTTAATGACTTTTATGACAACTTTCATATCAAATCAGTCTTCAAATAGGTCAGTGACATCACGGTTATGACTTATGACTAGATAGAAAAGGAGTCTTCATAATCACGATACACAGAAGTGACATTGTTTTAGGGCTACTACTGAAGTTATATTACTTTTAGCACAGCTCACCATAACAACCAGCTCGGGGACTCAAATAGCGGGAACGGTTTATGCAGATCTATACGCGCATTGGCCTAGCTCCGCCTTCCTGGGTAGAACGTAGATACAGACATCAGTGCATTGGCTCACTTGTTGACATTAGTCTGTTACTATCGAGCCACGTGTTTAATTTTATCAAGATTTATGAGTTTTTGTGTTGAAGTTAATAATAAAGAAAAGCAGGACAAGTTTGTGCTAAAAACTACGCGCTCTAATATAATAGGAAAGACAACTCAAAGAAATATCTCTTACAAACTGCTTTTAAACTGTAGCGAGCTCCGGTACGTTTGTTTACACTACCGTACTAGTGGTTTTGCATGAAAACATCTATTTCGACCCTGACATTTACAGATAGTCGTAAAGATATAATTTTGGCAGCCGCCCGGTTTAGCAGGTTTACTTATGTGTATCGATATCTGCAGTCAAGCGAGGCCGAGCGCAGTTAATAGTTGGATGGGTGACAATCTCAATGACAGTGGGTGTACTTCCGAACAAACTGAATGCAGATGCATACCACAGCGGCAGGCGTTATATCAATGAGCAAGAGGTATACCATCTTTCGGAAAAGATGTAAATCCGTCGGCTAAATTTCTGGTAATTGGGGTTAGCGTGCTCACTAGCGTCGGTTTAAACCTCGCAAGCCGACGTTAAATAAATTAATAAAAAAATGTAATTTAACAAAGTCAGTTGAAATCCCCCGCAAACTTAATTTTAATAAAAAGAGGATTTATTTTTTTTATCCACTTATAATGGTCAGCATTATTTTGAAAAATGCCCAACCCAATGAAGCCGTAACAATTGTAGGAACATCTACAAAACAAATTTGAGACATAAAAATGTAAATTTCTATTTTTTTATAATGTTATATAAAAATAATATTAAAAATATTATTTTGTTCCAATTATTGTCCTTATTTCCAATAGCTTGTCTTAGACCTTAAATATTTTAAATCAGTCCCAAACTTCTACCCACAGTGGGAGAGACAGCTAGAGTAAAGCAAATCCTATCAGATTTATCTTATGGTAAGCTGTGCTTTTAGTCAATGGAAGAAATCAATTTAGTCACAAGGGTATTTATTGTTGAAATCTGTACATAATACATATTTCAAAATTCTAGTTGACAATTTTATTCATTGGAAAATAAGCAATTATTAGCGACAATTTTTTAAGAAAAGCATCATCTTATTTTTGATTCAAACCACCTAATGTCCAATTCAAATAGACATGACTAAAAGCACGGCACCTTTACTATTGATCCAACTAATATGTTGAGTACATTTTTGAAATAAGCATGCAAACTCGTTGAAATTT